AACGAGTCTTTCTGACAAGGCTGTCATTGGTATCAGGTAAGTCAGAATTTGGACTTTTATTACAAGTGTGAGTGGGGTGTGTATCGGCTGTGGGAGTGTGACATTTTGAATGAGACGTATGGTGATGTGTTGAATTTGTAGGTGTAGTGTCTGGATCACGCAGTATGTAAGCAGGTTTCAGCCTGTCGATAGATACCGTGACAAACTTACCATTGACAACTATTTTGAATATTTTATCACCACGCTGAATAACTTCGTAGGGTCCTGTGTAAGCTGGTTTAAGGGATCCGGCAACAGTGTCATCTCGCAGGAAGACATGGGAAGATGTCGCTAGATCTTTAAAAATGAATGGTGAACGTTGAACACCGTGACGTGTCGCTGGACAAGGTTTCAAGTGACGTGCGAACTGCCGCATACGTGATATATAGTCTGTCACATCAGGGTCTTCGAGGTCTTCTGGACTAAGGAACTCACCAGGGAGACGGAGTGGTTCTCCATAAACTAATTCAGCTGGTGATGTCTTTAAGTCCTCCTTGTATGTGCTACGTATACCTAATAGTACGAGTGGAAGAGACTCGACCCAGTTACTATCACTGTGGCAGGTTATTGCCGCCTTTACCTGGCGGTGTACACGTTCCAGGATGCCGTTGCATTTAGGATTATAAGCTGTGGTCCTCTTGTGTTCGAATCCGATGATACGAGATAAATGGCTGAACAAATTTGATTCGAACTGCCTCCCACGATCTGTGACGATTGTGGTTGGGCACCCGTAACGAGCAATCCAACCGCTGAGCAATGCCTTAGCAACGGTTTCGGACGTAATATCCGGTAATGGTATTGCTTCAGTCCAACGCGTAAAACGATCGATCGCTGTGAGACAGTACCGGTATCCTTGCGATAATGGCAGTGGACCAATGAGATCGATGTGTATGTCTCTAAATCGTGCTCGGGGTAGCCTGTATGTGCCCAACGGTGAAGATGCATGTCTATGTATCTTTGACCGTTGACATGCTATACAAGTACGCGCCCATTCCCTACAGTCTCTTTTAATGCCAGGCCAAATATAGCGATCTGTCATTAAACGAATAGTGGCATTCGCACCAGGGTGGCTTAAAGAGTGAAGGCTGTTAAAAGCTTGTCTGCGTAAAGCTTTTGTCACGAAAGGTCTGGGTGAAGTCTGACTCACGTCACAAAATAGCGAAGTGTCGGTACCAGGCAGTTTCACTTTTTCGAGGCGCAGTGAGGTGTTGCCACTTAAGAACTGCTGTAACTCGGAATCAGTGGTCTGCGCTGTAGCTAACTCCTGAAAGTCTATTGGTAAGCTAACCTCCTCAATACGCGATAAGGTGTCAGCTACCACGTTGTCCTTTCCGGAAATGTGCCTGATGTCAGTGCAGAACTGTGAAATAAAGTCTAGGTGACGAAATTGCCTAGGTGAGCACTTCTCTTTCCTAGAATGGAACGCGAATGTTAGAGGTTTGTGATCGGTATATATCACAAAGTCTCTAGCCTCGATCATGTGACGGAAATGTTTAACCGCCTCATATATGGCTAAGAGTTCTCGGTCATAAGGGGAGTACTTGACTTGTGATGGGGATAATTTGCGAGAATAAAAAGCTAATGGCTGCCAAGTGGCCTCCTTAAGTTGCTGCAGCACTGCTCCAATGGCAGTATCTGACGCATCAGTTACTAGAGCAAGCTTCGTGTTGCAATCTGGGTGGGCAAGCATGGTAGCCTTGCACAGACTCAGTTTGCAAGATTCGAAGGCGTCAAGTTCTGTGGGTGAAAATGTTACAGGGTGTGAACCCTTCACAGAACCGGTCAGGAGCGCATTCAACGGTGCTTGGAGACTCGCTGCGTCGGGAATAAACCTCCTATAAAAATTTATCACACCTAAAAATCTGCGTAATTCTTTAACTGTTTTAGGTACTGGGAATTTGCTAATGGCATCCACCCTTTCAGGTAAAGGTTTGGTGCCACTTGCGGAAATACGGTATCCCAGGAAAGTTATCTCAGATGCACCGAATACGCACTTTGCTGAGTTTATCACCATGCCGTACTCTTGAAGCCTGGTGAAAACCTGGTTCAAGTGCTGTTCATGAGATTTCTGGTCTACTGAATGGACCAGTATGTCGTCCAAATAGGGATACGCGAAATCGAGCCCGCGGAGCATTTCATCCACGAACCGTTGAAACGTTTGCCCAGCGTTTCGAAGTCCAAATGTCATGCAAGGGAATTCGAATAGGCCAAACGGGGTCGTGATTGCGGTCTTCTCAATATCGTCTGGATGGACACCAATCTGATTATATGCCTTGACGAGGTCGAGCTTGGAGAATACAGTACATCCTGTAAGGTTGTGTGCGAAATCCTGTATATGGCGAATGGGGTACCTGTCAGGGATTGTCCGGGCGTTCAGCATTCGGTAGTCACCGCAGGGCCGCCAACTGTTGTCCTTCTTCGGTGCAAGGTGGAGGGGAGAGGCCCAAGGCGACTCCGAAGGCCGACACGTACCAACCTGCAACATAGCTTCGAATTCCGCTTTCGCAATTTTTAGTCTATCCGGCGCTAACCTGCGGGGTGCACACGATACTGGTGGTCCAGGTGTAGTGCGTATGTGGTGTAGTACTTTGTGTTTAGGTGTGCGGTGTATACCTGATGGTCGAGTGATGTCGGGGTACTTTGCTAGTATAGCATGGTAAACCGAAATATCACCCGATGTTACCTTAACCGATGAAACGTCGTCAGAAAAACCCGCGACCGAAGCCGCGGTAGCGAGCATAGTTTTGCCGTCTATTAAACGCTGGTTACGCACATCCACAATTAAATTATAAAACGATAAAAAATCGACACCTATTATCGCTCGTGTTACGTCGGCTATAATGAATCGCCAGGCGAAGTCACGTCGTAAATTTATATTTAATATTAAATGTGCATACCCATACGTGTTTATAACAGAGCCGTTAGCTGCGAACAATTCATAATTAGTTTTAACACAATTTCTTTTAATAAAACTACGAGGAAACACACATAGGTCACTGCCGGTATCTACCAAAAATTGTATTTTAGTTTTATAGTCTGTAATAAACAAGCGACCGGAGTTCGGGCAGGCGTCGGCCGCCATCACGGACTGCCCTAAGCTTTTCCCGTATAATCACAAGGTTTAATACACTTAGACGCTTTCTCACTAAATTTCCAGTGATACCAGCAAACTGGAAATTTCCTGTAGTTGGATTGGGAACGATTAGTACGCGAATGTCCACGCTCACGATTGCCTGACGAACACCTTCTTGTTCTAGAGCGTGACATCCTTTCCAGCTTGGTTGACAACTGATGTACCTGGCGCGTGAGTTCTGCAACTTGGTTACAGAGGTCACCCTGGCTGTGTGATTTAGAAGCTGCTGCTATATGTAGGCTCGGTGTCGCAATGTCGTGGATGCGGTCTGCTAATTCGGCCACGTCCTCTAGAGTAGCTTTGGACTGCGAGGCTACAATTGCTTGTATATTGTTAGGTAGTCTACTAGCCCACATGGTACGGAGAAATTCCGGGGGTACATCGGGCCCTGCAAGGTGCTGAATGTGGCGCAAAAATTGAGAGGGTTTGCGGTCACCCAACTCTTCCTTGGTGACTAATTGAAGCATCTTCTTCTCTTTAGATACCGACAGCCTACGTATTAATTCTGTCTTGAGCCTTTCATATTTATCAGGACCTGGGGGGGTAGCTATAATGTCCTCCACTTCCGATGCGTAAATAGGGTCCAGCTGTCCGATGGCATAGTGGAATTTCGTAGCATCGTTTGTAATGCCGGCTAGAACAAATTGACTTTCAAGCTGGTAAAACCACAGAGCCGGTTTTTCTGCATAAAAGGGGGGTACTCGTATGCCCACCCTTTGGACATCATGTGCGATGCTCGGCAACACGTTACCGCTTTGCTGCTTTGGTTCGGTCATTATAGTGTTCTTCGGGGTCACCAGTGAGGTGATTTAATGCAATGAATAGTCTATTTCTGATAAAGTATATATATATTATATTAGACACGTATTAAAGCCACACACGAGAGTTACAAAAAGATACAAGAGTAGATTAGAAGGAGAAACGAACTGAAGAATTATAATGGCACTAGGTACAGTATTTAAGCAACGTAAACACGAGATAACACACACGATATAAGGGATGCTATCGGTAAGGGTGCGACGGACATGCAATAAGCGTCGAAGTGTTTTTGCAACTGGCGCGCGTCGCGGGCGCAAGCCCTCGGCCGCTCGCCGTAACAAACCGGTTTTGCATTCCTCATATCTTACAATATTAAATACATATACAAAATAGAAATAGTTTTGTCTGTCTGTCTGTAAAAATTATATCTACTAATTTAGTATATTTAGTATATTTAGTATATTATATAACTACTTACAAATAAAAGTTTCTAATTATTTAACACTACATTAAATATAAATATATATAAATGTAGCTATGCTACAAATATGTGAAGGTGTTAATTAAGATTAGGACTAATAGTAATCCTACATAATATATTATATTATTTACCTACATATTTTTATTTGTCTGATAAGAGATGTTTATTTTGGATTGGTATGAAGTAAAATGAAATATATAAATAATTGAAGCTCATGTTACCGAAGGCTTATCAACAATTAAATATAAAAATAACCACACTGCTTATGTTAAACGCTTATTTTTAAGACACTATACAAAGCTCTTACGATTAGCAAGTAGTGTTTAAACTAACTATACGTCTATCTAGTATTCTATTATTAATCTAAGATTGCTAATTTAAAAACAATTTCACTATAAATTCCTTATTATAATTCTGCTAAGAAATTACTACTACTAAAGCTATCAACTCATCATCAATACTTTATACATGTAGAACAACATTGTTTTTATTTATGTAGTAACGAACTGCCGGTGTAGCCGATAACTGCCATTGTAACAGATACCATGGCCCTTCTAATTTAAACTAATATTTATTGTTATCCTACAGGTAAACTAGTATTGAAAATTCCCTGGAAGAATCTTTATGGCGCATCAGTGGAGGCTACAGTTGAACGACTGTTTTTGATCGTCAATCCTACAGCGGAAGTGAAATATGATCCCGCCAAGGAGGAGAAAATGGAACTGGCCGCCAAACAGGCTGAACTGGCGAGAGTTGAAGAAGCTAAAAAGAAAGAAGCTGAAAAAGGTATGGCTTATTTGATTTTACTCTTTAATTATATCCTTCAAATTAACTATAACACTTACTGATTATCTGAAGTGCTCTGTGATAAAAAGTGTGTGTGAAGTGACTCATAAGTCTCGAGTATTTAATGTACCTGGTAGAGAATGCACTGAGAGCACTTTCATAATATTATGTGATAGGGTACTATAGGACACCAGGGCCTTCCTTTCCCACCAGGGCCTTCCTTTCTCACCAGGGCCTTCCTTTCTAGGGTATACCTGGTTCCCCGGCTATTAGTACCCGGCGAAGGCGTGCGGTTTTAGTCGGTTCGAGTCCGACATGCCACCGACAGGTGGTATCCGAGGGGATTTCCGCACGGAAAAAAAAAAAAAAAAAAAAAAAGGGTACTATAGGAAAATGAGTCACTGATTACTAGTAACTGAAGATCGCGAGCGGTTTGTACGAACTTCATGGTGTCTCACCACCGTTTAAAAGTTATCTTCTGTGTTACTACCTATAAATAGAGTGGCCCGCTTTAATCTGCATACTATTATGTTATGCAGATTCATAAAAAAAAACGATAGTAAAAAAAACAACTTGTTATCAAGTGTGACCTTTTATCCGCTGAGTAATTTGTTATTTTTACTATACTTATCAAATATGTGTCATGGAACAGTACTATAAACAGTATAATACAACAAACCAACAGTGCGATATTGATTTTATCTGAAAATGGAATTGAGAGACTATTTTATGTCGCAGACGATCGCTGACGCCAATCCTAAATAAAACTATGCTGAATAATTTGAATTTTATTATAATTCTTAGTGACACTAAGGAAAAGATAGATGGATGGGAGAGGGGAGGAAGGATAGGGAAGTTCGGAGTTTGTTTAGGCACTTATAGCTTGTGTGTTTACTTCATTCATTTATTGTTAAAGTTAAGTACATGGTTGATATTACTTATAAACTAGTACAGTAGTCACTTTCCATCAGTTGACCCGCCCGATCGTTTGCCACCTTTTTCATTTTCATCTATACTAATATTATAAAGCTGAAGAGTTTGTTTGTTTGTTTGTTTGAACGCGCTAATCTCAGGAACTACTGGTCCGATTTGAAAAATTCTTTCAGTATTAGATAGCCCATTTATCGAGGAAGGCTATAGGCTATATATCATCACGCTAAGACCAATAGGAGCGGAGCACCAATGAAGAATGTTTCAAAAACGGAGAAAATTTATTACTATTGAGAGACGCAGACGAAGTTGCGCGGGTCAGCTAGCTGATTATAATTACATCTTTTTTCCGTAAATACTAATAGGATTTAGAGTAAACTATAATTTGACTCGCATACTCGCCGTTTTTTTTCTAGATCAAAACAAACTAGATGAGACTTTCGTCGAGAAATTGGTGACACAGATCATCAAGAACGTACAGTTGAAAATCACAGATATTCATATAAGATACGAGGACAGCATAACGAATCCTAAGGCGCCTTTCTCATTTGGAATCACCTTGCACAATTTATCCGTCCACACGACTGACGAGAACTGGAAGAAGGCAGTCATTCAGGAGGCCGTTACCAAGATTTTTAAGGTAACTGTTTGAAGAAAGTAATTGCGATTGTTGTTTTTATGTAAACGTCAAGGTTATTAAGCCGGTCGTTCAAAGGTCAGGTCAACTTTATGAATAATAATTTTAAGTAAATGTTTTATGCAAAAGCTCTAGATTTAATTTTGCGTTTTGCATTAAACTTCTATGATATTTATACAGTCTACTCTTGGACCGAGATGATTAGCTGTTAGATAATATTTCTTAATAATTATATGACTCGCCACTATCTTTAATTCACAAAAATAGTTCGTCATGTTGTATTAGATACTAGCTGTTACTCAAGACTTCGCTCACGTTAATGTCAATTTTGTTAAACAATTTTTCCTTGATTAAGAAGCAGCCCATGTGCTATTCCAGATTATAATATATCATCATCATCAGCCTACCGCAGTCCACTGCTGGACATAGGCCTCTCCCATTGCACGCCACTTAGATCGATTTTGGGCTTCTCGCATCCAGCTACTTCCAGCCATCTTGCGCCAATATATAATATATCTCAGTGTTAAATTACAGACCCATTTAACTGTTCGGGTGTGATAAAGGGACAAACACCCATTCGTCGATCCTCACAAACTTTTTCGTTTATTACATTAATGGGTTTTATTTGTATAGATTTTAGATTTAGAAGGCCTTGCTGTATACTGGAATCCCGCAACAGAAATTTATTCAAAATCGAGTCCACAAGAGATTAAACAGCGATTAGAAACAGAAATTGCTGCAAAGTCATCCAAACCCACCTTTTATCACTATGGTAAATAGACATCTATTTTTCGTAAGCTCTTATTTAGTTGCCTTTGTTAGTATATGTCAGATTATGCTTATGTATCCATATTTTTGACAGCAATTGATAATAGAAAGAGAAAAAAGACAGAAAATCAGGTTCATTTAATAAAACATACTTTTTAGACTAAGACTAACTTACATTGTGGCAAATGGAAAATAAACAAATGGATAAGAACCATTATACATAGTATATTAATTCTCTTAAAAATTCTTTAGTTAAATGAATGCTTGAAATGTTTTATCAGTCAGATATATGATTTTCCTTTTGGGAAAAATATATATTTTCAGCATTACCGCAAAGGGTAAGCGAATCTGATCTGAAGATACATATAATTACCGTATTCCAAAGCTTACAGCGTTCTTAAAAGTAATATTAGTAAATGCCATCTTTATTTGCAGCGTTGGGTCCAATCAACGCAACAGCAAAATTAAAATTGAATCCAAAGCCAGAGGGAGATGTACCTAAATTCAGCTTACCGAAAGTGATTTTAAGTCTTCATATGGAACAATTATCTGTCAGTCTAACCAAATCCCAGTATCAAGATATGATGCTCCTTGCCGATTCCATGGACAGAATGAACAAGCAAGCACCTTACAGGTATAATTAATGTTAATTGTAGGACCAATTACGTTGACCTCCGAATTGGTGTTATGTACACGGTGTAAGTTTGTTACGTATGTATCCCTACTAGTTTTATATTAGTCTGAATAAATGAGTGAGTAAGAGACACTAATATGAGTCAACTCATGGAAATATTCAGAACAGTATAGACATATAGCTAAAACCAAGTAATATCAATAGGCTATAATATACTACGAATAAAGCTCGGGTAACCCTCTACGTTTACTTTTGAAGGTCTGGTGTTCCTTGCATTAAGAGTTGTTTATTTGATCAGCACTATTGGCTTATTACAGATTTTAGAGGATTCCAACAATGTCACTTGTTACAAACTTTTGGATTTCATTTTTTTATTGTTGTAATTTGATATTTTAAAGTATACCGTAAAACAGAATTCATTAGATCTACAATTACTATACATAATTAAAAGTAGTTGTGTGTCTAAGTTTATCATCATCTACAGTCTTTAGTTGTCCACTGCTAGATATTGGCCTCTTCTTAGAAATGAGGTTTTTGCCTATTATACCACGCTGGCCAGACGGGTTGGTATAGGGTTCGTGTCAAATTTTCCTTCTCTTTGCAGTGCTGTTGTCATAGTTTACTTCCTCAGTCGGCTCTTACGACACCCACGCGATGAATGGTCGACGACGTCTAACTAACTTAGTATCCTGTATTTCATGCTTAATTATTAACTTCTTTTCAGAAAATACCGCCCAGACCTAACAACATATAAACAAAACTACAAAGCTTGGTGGCAGTTTGCATACAAGTGTATATTAGAAGAGGAAGTCCGCCGTCGACGTCGCAATTGGGACTGGGAACATATGCTGAGACATAGAACCTTATGTAAAGATTACGCTAAGGTTTATCAGTGTAAGCTAAGTAGTAGAGGTAAAGTGACCAGCGATCAGCAGTGTCTGCTCGACGAGGCGGAGAAATCGCTTGACCTGTTAAACCTAGTCGTTATTAGACAAAAGATTGAGATGGAGGTATGTATTAATGTATCACATCTCTATGAGGTATTTATTTGTTTTATTTAAAATGTGTATAATAAACTACGCAACGTTCATTACCTTAAATAAAATGCCATACCGTTTATTGCCAGGGGTACAGAAAAGAATATAAACTAGGCAGGCAATAAGTCCGTGCAACTTGTGCATATCATTTATAAAAGAGGCCTTTTCAATGATGTCGCGAACACATATATATCTTGTAGGTATGGATGAGATTTCCTTAATAATTTTTAGCATCCCACCATCTGCCTACCCTTATCCCAATTTTATTTGGGGTATGTATTTCTTTTATTTTACTCTATAATTAGTCATTTCACTGTCACACAGTCCATCCATCTTTTATTTCGTCTTCCTCTTCAACTGCCCATACCTAACACTTTCGTCGCCACATTTTCCTCATCCCTGCCCATACATGACATGATATGTCCATACCAAGATACCTATTACTTCTTATCTTTTCATCCAGGGGCGCTACTTTCAGACTCATTCCTGACCTTGTCCATCCGAGCCACTCCACACATCCATCTCAGAATTCGCATTTCGGTTACGTTCAGGGGTCTCTCATGCGTTCTCTTAATGGGCCAACTTTCAGAATGATACTGGGCGTCAATTCTAATGATCGTTCTGTATATTTGTCCCTTGGATATAATAGGGAACTTGGGATCGCAATTTATTCGTGATACCTGCTGCCACTTCATCCATCCTGTATTAAATCAATGCTGTACAGACCTATATATTTCGCCATCATTTTGTGTGAGCGAGTCGAGGTATTTGAAATAACGGTTTTAGCATCCCAATATCTGCAAAGTTTTAAATATATTTGATCATTAATTTTGAGACACTGTTTAAGGTTGAAAGACTCGGTAAACTTGCGGAGGAAGCTAAAAAGTCCCGCGGCTGGTTCAGTGGCTGGTGGTATGGAGGTAGTTCCCACGATGGTGAACTTGCTGAGGGCACGGCTATAAGTAAGTCTATAAGGTCTCGATAGTCAATTTATTAAAACAAAAATCATTATGTACCGAAAAGCATTCCCAATATAGCTCTTAGTCTTTAATATATACAATAAATGCAAATATAAATGTCATGGTGATGAGAGATTTGTTATCAGCATCGTAGTACGTAAGCTAATACGTAAGAAATAATGTATCAAGGCGAACTCGTTTTCTAACAGAATTATTTAAATGTTCTGAAAAAATATTTAAATGTGATATATAATCACGCCAAGCACAGTATATATAAATATAGACTATGTGTTTGTGTGTGTGTGTGTGCGCGCGCGTGTGTGTGTGTGTGTATAAGCTAGGTAATTTTTTCTGGGAATCTTCAGTTTAGTCACGTTTAGCACGATATTTTTATTCGTTTTTTGCATAATTTTTGCTACTGGTGCAAGTTCGGGGCGGTTCGTTAGTTACTGTTAAAACTAAATTTGCTATTTTTTTTGTAGTGAAACAGTTTGAAAAAGCGATGACCCCCGAAGAGAAGGCGAAGCTTTTCCGTGCCATAGATTACCAGGAGAACTCTGCGCCTTTGCATATACCCATCGAGTACGTGGCCGTCGTAGGTCACTTTCAGTTGGATAGGTTGCAGTTGTCCGTGACGGATAAGTCGGAGGTGTTGAGAGCTTGTGTCGAGGATGTTGAAGTTGACTTGAGACAACGACCCAGTGCTAATGCTCTAAGGTAATTTTTTGTAATACGTTATACTCTAGGGAAATAAAGATAAAGATCGTGTTTGACCCCTAACGCCTTTAATTCTAATTAGGGTATTCTTCAAGACTAGAGCGTACTCCTTCCTAAAAGGCCGGCAACGCGTTTGTGACTCCTGAGTTGAAGGGGTTCATGGGCGGCGGTAGTCACTTTCCATCAGATGACCCGTGTGCTTCTCTGCCCCCTCTTCCATAAAAAAAATAATTGTTGCTTACATCTAATTAATGCTATGAACAGTTTTTGTTATACAACCTACTTAAAAACCCTTTTACCCCATTATATGATAACTATTTTCATCGAAATTTGATAATGACGGGCTTTAGGGCATTTGCTGTGTTTGGTATGAGCTCAAATTCACGCTGTGCCACTTATATCAGCAACTTCAAATATGTTCTTCCACCTCTAGTGTAATTGTTAGAAACATTAAACGAACCCGAGTTAATATGTTCTTTGTTTCAAACACTAGCGTGACGCTTATGTAGAAATGAGAATGAGAATACCTTCTAATGTTTCCCTAACATCTTTTATCTCGCTTTCCTGTAACCCTGGGAGTAAATTTGTGAAAGGGGACGGAAGTGTGTAACAGGAGACCGAGGTAGTGTGCGCTATTTATTTTGACTAATGAACGCGCGCAGCGCATGGTAGACATTGATGTCTGGTACTAGTTTTTTTTTTTATAAATCATTCATACTTTAATAGTACTAACTGCTTAATTCATTTTAGGGTGGACGTCAGTATGAAGTCTTTCAATGTGACTGGTTGCCAACAAGGTGACTTTGAACCGCAATTGGTCTCGTCTAAGGAAGTCACTCAAGATATGAACCTTCTCAACGTTATGTTTGAGACCAATCCTTTAGGTAAATAGTAAAATTGTAAATATTTTAAATTGTAAACTTACAGTATCAAAAACCTATCGTTATTTATCGACATTTATGAAGTGTTTCCACTCACCTTCCTGCAACTTGTGGAAGTGATTCCGTGAAAAGAAACGGAAGTGTGTAATAGAAAGCCAGGTACGGCCAGCAAATCGCACGCAATACGTTCATGATTGTGATTTATAATCAAATATAATTTTGATTTGACTGGCCTATTGGTCTAATGTTTAATGACCCTGACTGCTACGCTAGAGGTCGTGAGTTCGATTCCCACTCACGACAAATAATTGTGTGATGAGTACGGTCATTTGTTCTGTGTCTGGGTGTACTTTATCTATAATATGTATGTATTTAGAACTATATAGGTATGTTTATCAGCAGTCTGGTTACCATAGCACAGGTTCTGCCTAGTTTGGGATCAGACGTGTGTAAAATGTGTGAAAATATTATTATTTTTTGCTAGATGTTACACATCATAATTAAGACTACTGTAAGGCTCGTTCGTTTTTCTGTATAAATTTACAAAAGATAAAAGCTTACGCGCGCAAATTTTTCTGCGGCTCTTAAAAGCTATAGAAGTTTGGCAACATTTTTAATTTATACTCGGCTCGATAAAAAACTACGCAGAACAACAGCACTGCAGAGAGAAGGCAAACTTGACACAAACCCTTTTTTTTTTCTCAATAAATGGGCTATCCAACTTAAAATAATTTTTCAATTCGAACCAGTACTTCCTGAGAGAAATAAACTTTTCAGCTTTATAATCGGTGGTGCAGTGGTAGCGTATGCGTCTGCTGTGCTGAGGTCTCGGGTTCGATTCCCGGGTCTGACCAAATTATTGTATGATCTGCAAATATTTGTTTTGGAGTTTCTGTGTTTTTTGTGTATAATATGTATGTAAACGAAAGTATAAAAGCCATTTTAGCCTTCATAGTACAAGGTCTGCTTAGTTTGAAACTAGATGGCGTTGTGTGTCACATGTTCGAAATATTATTATATTTAGATTATAATATAAGGAGAAGTTCTATTAAAGTTATTTTGTGTAAAACAATTCCTAACCACACTGGATTCAGTATTCTAGATAAAGAATTCAAATAAAGAAAACGTTATACAAGTAACTATTTTTTACAGATGGCTTGTGTGACCAACGTGTAAAGGTGCAAGCTCGTCCTCTACAAATAGTATATGATGCACAAACTGTGATAGAAATTGTCAATGTTTTTAAACCCGCCACTGATTCTACAGCTTTAACTACGTAAGTTGTGACAAACATAATGCCAATTGTAACAAACATATTTTATAAACATTATCTCGATGATCTTGCCTTGTTTGTTGCTGTTTTTCACCTCCCTTAATTTTTCGGCACCTAAATGGGCAAAGTACTGACCCAGTTTATAAAAACTTAAATTAAAAGTAGTCTCTTTAAGAAAATATTTCAAAAATGAGAAACATTCGACTGCACGGATGGCGTAGTGGTTTAAGTGATCGCCACGCCGCTTCCTACTACGCCCAGTGTTGTTGGTTCAAACCCCACATGCGACGAGAACAATTTGTGTGATCCACAAATTGTTGTTCTGAGTCTGGGTGTTCTTTGTGTCCGTTTCATGTATGTTTGTAAAGTCCCCCGCGACACAGGAATATATATCCCTAATGCGGGCGTTGTCTTTTAAAAAGAAAAAATAAAAAAAATTATTACCTTATCAAAAGACTTATTGTTTGTTATTTTTTGTGCTTGCGCCAACTTTACTCAGCTAGACTATTACAAAGACATCGACGACATTTCTATCAGTGACAAGTCATCTTGAGGCCATTGGTCTTACATAGTTAGTAGAATACGAAAAGTCCAAAACTATTCCGAAAACAGTCAATCATCATCATCAGTCAGTCAGTCAGTCATCAATCAGTTGACATCTTGACATTTTTTTCAGCTTACAAGCAGCTGCCGAAAACAAACTATCAGATTTAAAAGAAAAGTCAGCGCTCGGTATGCAGTACGCGGTACACAACCACACGTTCATTGAAATTGACGTCAATATTGCCGCGTCTTACATTATAGTGCCACAAAGTGGTGTTTATCGAGGGTACGTATATTTTTTTTTATGAGCCTGTGTATGCCTGCCTAACATCTTAGAATGAAAAAAAAATCCATCGTCTCCAACCGAACTACTCTTCCTTCTGATATTTGCACAGTCGTTACTTATTCGTAGCACCATGAAACTGCTGGCAGACATTTTCCATTTTTTATTAATAGTCCAATTTAAACGCTTACGGTGATGCTATGAGACTTGACTAGACTTTATTAAATTTTCTTTTAATAACTAGCGGAAGACTACCGAAGAAATCCGAAGTATTTCGTTTTCCGAGTCTGGGCGTGGAACATTTTATTTAACTATAGGGATTTAGATTGACATTTATAGGTTTACAAAAATTGGAAAAACGAAAATAATAACATATTTACATATTTATTACCTTCGTTTTTATCCAACGATAATTCAGAAGGTTCTCAAGTGAAGCCCTTTATTTTTTATTATCTTTGCAAATAGATTCTCTTACTTTATATGTTTATGATTTACACAAATGGTTATATATTTTTTACAGCAATGAAGCATGTGTAGTAGTTAAACTTGGTGCCATAAAAGTAAAATCAGAGCCTCGTTCGCAAGCGCTCGACGTACACAAATTGTACCGCGAGGGACTCGCCGACGAAGATATACTGAGGGAGATTGCTCATCATAGCTACGATAAAATGGCTCTTGAGCTCACGGAAATGCAGGTATGAGCCAAGATATATATATATATATATATTTCTGTCTATAGAAGTAATATATGTTACTATGAACTTAAAAATTCTGAACTTGTCATGATTAACAGCTGCACATATTTTAAACGAGCCAAGATGGGCGAAGTTGATCAGGATATTGCATATTTTATCTAACCAAATTTACTATAATATGCTAAGATATACGACTTAGCCTGGATGCCGAATACATTCTACTGTATTAACCACAATAGGAATTCATGACATACATTCTTATAAACTTACTTATACTTTATGTTAGGTTACGCTATTGTTCTAGGGCCTCAGAAATTTTAGGACACTGCAATTTTTTTTCGTTGTAGATCGTGATTGCATCTCCGAAAGAAGATTGGCAGACGGCCATCGCGTCGGATGACGAAGCAACCCCGATGCATTTACTACAACCCACCAATTTAGTAATACATATACACAAATGTTTGATCACGGACGATCCACGATTGCCCAAGATCAAGATCAGAGGAACTCTCCAAAAAATTGCCATAAGTGTCTCTGAGGATAGGTTAGTAGTCTCATGTGCTAATTGATTGATCAGTATCTCAATACAGTGATTGGTTTAGCGAAGTGAGAATCAAAATAACTTTTTAATAAAAACTATATTAAATATCGATGGTTTTGTTTGACTTTTAATTATTTTTCAGATTACTTACTTTATGTGAAATATTAGTTGGCATGCCTTTGCCACAATCAGAAGAAACAACACAACTGAAGGTTTGTACATTACGTAATTACTATTTATCCTTAACATTTTTTCATAACTTTTGTCATATTAATTTCATTGTTATTCCTTTGGTTTTAAAGATATTTGGCCAGAAATTCGCGTACCTTGTATCTGGTAAATTGATTGAAACAGCTATTGAAGGATCTCCATATCAATTGGTGGTAACTGTTTTCATAAACAGTAGAGATATGTTAGTAGCAGTGGCGGCTGCGTTTTTAGCCCATTCGTGCTCTGAACCACAATATCCCGATTAATAAATATCATGTAAAAAACCTTATACTACGTATTAAATGTATTTTCAATTGGCATTTTCATAAAATACATATTAACTGTAAGGAAAACCTTTTGAGTAAAGATTAAACGCTCACAATGAGCTTCTATATCTTAAATTGATTAACAAAAGATTAACGTATCCGTATTTTATTTTGCACGTAAAAAGTACGGGTCATACGTAGGAAGTTACTATCTACAGATTACTGGTGGGACGCGCCAATACGATAATAATGTTGTATTTAATGTTATTTTGTTATTAAATATTAGTATTTGACCTCTTTTTGTGTCATGTATATTGTGAGATATGCCTCCCTATATTAAAATTGTTTTTTTTAAACAGAACAAAAAAATAATATATAAATAATATCTAATAATATACCAAGTTTGAACAAATTTGAATCAATCGAAAATACTAATGTTTGATTATATCTATGTTAAGATGTAACATCTAAACTTTCCTTGAATCTCGAGAAGTAAAGAAACAGTTCCAGCATAATATTTCGAGCAGAATAATTTTTGGAAGGTCTAAACAATGAATTGAAAGGTTTGAGATAGTGTAGTTTGTGAATAAATTAATAAAGTTTTTTTTATTATTATTGTAAAGCCGAAACCATCTTATCGTACCCTTTACAAAAAAGTAAATCGAGTACCGATTTTTAAAATAAAGTGCACCACAGATTCCCTTTGTCAACAGCCGCCACTGAATAGTGATACAAGTTAATATAAAATATTACGTAACTTATGTACTTAGAACATCATTTTAGATACGAAAAGTAACCATATATAGATTCTTACTAATAAAATTAAAAATACTGTTATTATTAGTGTTTAGTACTTTCATTTCACTTTGTTATTAGAGAAACACGGACAACATGCAGTTGTTGATAATATAGTTTTGTTGATTATAACTTTGTGTAATTACTGTCACGATAAGTAAGAAACTAATGTACTTAAATTCATGCGTTTTCGTAAACTGGCGTTATTAAAAGATCTAAATATTGAATTACATGTAAATAATTGATATTAGAATAATACCTAAAATAAGTTATCTTGGTAAGGTAATAAATCATTATTGTTTAAATACTCAAATCCTTTTCAATTTTAGTCTGTCGTTATGTCTTAACGATGGTGTGTGTGGCGTTTTGTTCTTATGATTCGAATAATAAGCACAGTCGATTCGTCGTAGAGTATTTTTGTTAAATATTTATTTGCTTTTAGCCTAGTGAATCGAAGGGGTCGAGTATGTCTTTATTGAGATTTTTGGATCCAGCTGAAAAACAGAAACGTGAGACCGCTCGAGCACTCAAAGAGAAGAAAGTAGATGAGCATAGCGTTCAGCTAACAGAAGTTGAAGCTTTCTTTATAATGAAAGGTTAGTTTACATTAAGATCTATGAATATACTTACGCAACAAAGGATTCATGTATCAGTGTCACACAAGCAGACCCGACCATCAAAAATATCCACATTCCTCTTATAGTTCTCTAAAAGGGATATTAAACATTTCTAGCTTTAATTTCGCAGTAGCACTTAAGAAAATGCTACTCGAAAATAAATAAATAATGAATGAGGCATAAGAATGCTTCATCACAAGGCCAGGCCGGCTCGACCGGAGTGATATCGCGGCCTTACAAAAAACCGGTGTTAAGCTATTCCTTCGTTGCTTTTCACTTAGTAGGTGAAGTTACCGGAGACATCATTCTGGCGTAGGACACACACACACACACAAAGAACGGCAAAGTTGTCTATTTCACTTCTGCTCGATCGTTACGGTGACCGCGTTCGGCGCTGCGATTTGCCCGCACTGATATCTCCACCAATCGTAACGCTAAACGCGTTGGCCGTCGAGAGCGAGTCGATGTGAAATAAACTTGCACTCGACCCTCTGGTGACCCGTGGGCTCCTTTACAACAGAAAACAAAAACAACACCATTAAACTTTCACTGTTATTTACAATAACATTTACAATAAGTTACAAAATAACAAGCTTGCCCTACCAATATCATTAAAACATCATAAGAAGCTTGTCGCACTTTCTACACCTATCTTTATATCAACGTTTTAGGGCTTCCAAAACGGTCTTAATCTGAAAGGGCCGACATTGCAGCGACTAATTAAACACGACAACCCTAGTTTTATTTACGATAATATTTTTACAGAACTGGCGTTGTGCATTAATCGTAAGACTACAAATTCTGAAAGTAAATGCTATGATAAGTTTCTAGTATTTTCACTGTCTCTCTTACAATTGACTGCTGTGCAAAAGACCTTTACGCTGGGTGCGACCATCCGTTTGGGTGCTGTCAATTTGCAACACTTCAGAACTGGACAAAAAGTGTTGCAGATCATTGAAATGCTCAATGATCCTTTCGAAAGTTCAGCATCAGATGACACTCTTGAAAAAGATGATTCAATGATGTGCGCTCGAACTCAATATCTCTTCACTGTTACTTATAGTAATGTAAGTACCTACATGTACCTCTATATATATTTAGTCTGGCAATAAATACTGGTAAAATAAAAAAAAATACATTTGAATTTGGTATCTATCATTCTTATACGAATATAATGTTTTCTAATTTTCGCGCCAATCAGTGTTAAATATTTTTTATTTCATTTTGCAAAAGATTTTTCCTTGTAATAATATTTATGGAAAGACTAGGTGTGTATTTATAATTATGTAAATATAATTATTGTAATATATGCATAAATTCATCCATCTAACGATTGTCTAGAAAAAATCGTTACTGTTATTTAATGTTTCTTCTTATTTTGTAATCTTACTTTAATAATCATCATCATCATGATGATTAAAGAAAGATTACAATTATCTATTATCTTTTTTAAATGTTGGACGATAAATAGTATGGTTACACATGTATGGTACATGTTCGATATTAAGTACAATAAAATATTGTACATGTTCAATTTCCATTATTTATTGCACTATTACTGATGAGTTTGCAACATTTTCAGGTGGACAAAAAGTGTCCAGAATTTAGAAGCCTTTATGGCTCAGTGGAACAGATGATTGAAATGGATTTTACAGATTTGAGGTTACTGTTACATCTTCAGGGCTTAAACGAAATCTTCGTTGTTGTAAATGAATATCAGGTAAGTTAAGATTTTGAAGATAAATATAGATTTTATAGTCAACTGTTTCTTAGTGGGACATACTTACGTATTAAAAGTATACACATGTTTAAAACCTGTACAGAGACCGGTGTAATGAATGCGTTTTGATCTTAAATCGCAATTTACAGCAGTAAATTGTTTCTACTAGCACTCACTAATGTACGTAACTCAATCAATATGTTTATACTTCGGCAGATTTTATAGTACTGCATTTTAAAGTTAACAAACTCACAAATTGAGACGTACAATGACAAATGTGTTCATTTGCGTATAAAACCTTTAAAAAAAATAAAAGTTACGTCAGTTATAATTATATGCAGAATGTTTAATATGGTGCAATATATCTAGCATTGCTATCTGGAAATAAGAAATGTAAAAACTTCTTTACACAGACGAGGTTGCAAGACATTCAGAGTACGGTCGATAGAACGGCCAATGCTGGTCCATTGGAGACTATTCTGGAAGACGAGGAATATACTTCTATAAAAGCTAAAGGTAATTTTAAAAAGAGTTTGAACCTGGGTTATTTGATTTATGAACTTAATTTGAATAGACCATATTTCCATTGGACCCTTGCATAAAGAGGAAAGGGCGCTTATTGTTTTTTGTCTATTCAAACACATTCTTTTGTACAATCAAATATAAGACTAATTAATAGAATGGGTTTGTGTTTTATTAATTAACTGATAAATATTTTAGTGAGCCAGTCCAAGCCGTCCCGCCAGAAGCAAGTGGAGAGCATCCAGCTGAAGGTGTCTGCGCGCGTGGGCACGATCGAGATCGTGTTCGCGACGGACGCGCGGCCGCTGTCCGTGGTGTCGCTGGGCGGCGCGGCCGTGGGGCTGGTGCTCAAGGCCTCCTACACGCAGCTGGACTGCGCCATCGCCTCCATCAAAGTAGAGGATCTAAACCCCGTCACTGCACACAGAGAGGTAATATTTTAAAAATCATTTCTTTTCATAATCTACACTATTTGTGTCCGGTTCAAAACGATGTCTGGAATGCTACGGTTTAATGAACATCGAAATGGTAACCATCTACAGCTTTAGTAATTCCTCAACGTCGTCTTTCTATCCTGTGCCCGAATTGAAGGTTGGCGCAATGTGAAACGTTGCAAAAGGTTTTGTCTTAAAATACCCGATTTTCAAACGGATCATTGTAGTAAGTAAAACGAATGGAACGATGGAGCTAGGGCAAGGGATATCGCAAGGCCCTCAATTGTCTAGCGAGATAAGTTTGTAGTTATTCCACTGTTTGGTGAAACCTTTTTGCGCAAGGGGATATATACTGACCAAGACAAGTCTTCTGGCCAGATACCTGACTCCCATGTTTTGCAATAGATGATATATTAAAGTCCACTCTTGTTTCTCCCATTGCCTTGAATACTTTAATCTCATCTACACCTACTGCTTTATTGCTTTTCCAGTTTTGTATTACTGCTCGTATATCATCCCGCAAGATATCAGGTACTCGGTCACCGGTGTACTGCTGGCAACATTGGTTGACTGCTTTGGAATTATTTGAGAAGAGAGTTCTGCAATATTCATTTCAAACATCAACCATTCTTTGACCGCAGTGACTGTTACTCCATGTGCATTCTCTATTGCCCAATCCTAAGGTTTAAACTGGCGAGTTATTTGTCGAACCTTATCATGGAGGTCGTTGATCTGCAACCTATCAGAGTACGGCTCTAGTTCTTCTTGCTTCTTGCTCAACGCGTTATTGCGATCTCTTCCAGAGGCAGCTTGTACAGCTGATGTTTTGGCCTTCAATTCGGTACCACTCACTACACTGACTTTCAGCTATCTTCATTCTTCCTCTAAAAGCCAAATTCTGTTGATATCCAATGTTGCCGTTTATTTGAAACTTTAGTAGGTTGTGACTACTTAACTGCATCCACGACACATTTCTTTGCGGATATCCACAAGAAATTGGTATCCTTGGTGCTAATTCGCACTCCAAGCAGAATGCTTACTCTTAATTGATGTAGTAAGAAAGTTTTTATCCACTATCAGCATGCGTCTAGGCCTTTTTGACATTCTTTCTTTTTGTAATTTAAGCCTTAGTTTACCGACGAGCAGCTCATGGTCTGACTCAAGTCTGGACTAGGTAAGGAATGCGTGTTGGTTATGGAGCCCCTCCATCTTGATCTTATTAGAAATTAGTCTATTCAGTTTTGACAAAACACCAGTTTATGTCCAAGTATATAAACGTCTTGGGTGGTTCTTGAAGGTATTGTTCATTATGGTCAAGTAGTTGTTGGCTGCAAATTCTATTAGGCGGTCTCCTCCCTTGTTTCTGACGCCAAGACCATACCATCCAACGATGGTGCGAATTCCATCATCCATAGTAGTGTCCTCCATTTTGGCGTTTAAACCTCCAATGCTGAGTATCAGCTCTCTTTTGAATGAAGTAAACCTAAAGAAATATGTAACTAAGTACAACCATTCTTCGATACGTCTATCCTTTTTTCTTTCAGATTTTGAAAGTACTTGGTGGTGACGTTATGAACGTGCAAATAGTGATGTACAATAATGAAGTATCGTCTGCGAGTGACATCGATATGTCAATAGATGCGCAGATCAACTGTCTCAGAATAATATTCTCGAATTGGTTCGTCACTTCTATGTTGGTAAGTACATAAACAAACAACTAGAATTATTTGTTACGTTGTGGTTAAAAAGTGTTACATTCCTTAGCTCAGCAATAGAGAGTTGTTTGTAAAGTCATTTTATTTTGTATGTGTCAGTTTTTTTCTCATTTTTATTTTATAAAGATAGCGTACCTTTAGGTTAGTGTACTAATAAGTAAGTGTATAATACACGCCAACGAAGTTGCGCAGGTACACTCACAAACAAACGTACTGAGCATAAAAATACATTTTATGTACTGTTTGCGTGCCATTATTAAGCTATAAACATTTAGGTATTAATAAAAGTAAATTTATTTAATTAAGAATTGTAAAATGTAAGATACCTATACATCTATTTCCGAAAGGTTAACGTGAATGTTTTAAAGACTAAAGTGGCAAGCAAGTAAAATAAATATTATGACGCTTCTGGTAACAACTGCGGACTCGTTGTATGAGCATATTATCAATAAATAGACACTTCCTAAATCATTTGTAATAGTTAGTCTATTAATGTGGCTAATACCTAAATAAATTAATCATATATGTTATAGCAACAGATCAAAAAGCTAGGTAGAATTTATGTTATATACCAGACGTTCGGAATATTAGAGAAAATTCACATTTTATTCCTTCTATAAGTATATTTTGTACCGTGCGGACAGTCACACCGTAGCTTCATAATAATAGTTTGTTTAAACAAGGTAATTGTTTTTTACTCCTGCCACTGATTTTGCTTTTAAATAGTTATATAACTACAGTAAAAACTATTTTTCTGGCCTGCCTTTTTAATACGGAGTTTCGTCTCGGTATGTTGAGAAACGCATATTAAGCGTAAAACAATAATAACAAACGCAAACAAAACGGGGAGAGTTACACTATGGACGAGAACAAGTGAAAAGGCTGTAATATACGTTAGGTAAAAATACGAAGACTTTCGCGTTAAGATATATATTTTTGTGTTTTTAGGAATTTTTGAATAACTTTCAAACAGCACAACAAGCGATAATTGAAGCATCTTCTCAAGCGGCAGACGCGGCGCGCGCTAACGTGGCCAACGCGTACCAAAACTCCACCAAGTTGGCGCTAAAAGTACGCCTCGCCGCCCCCATCATCATAGTGCCCGAGAATTCCAAGAGTTATAAAGCTCTTCTCATCGATTTGGGCCGAATGAGCATCAATAACAAGTTTGTGGATCTGGGAATCTCTGTAAGTATCAAATTATGTTATTATAATTGTTATTGAAAAAATCTCTGTTACTGAAATCTATTTGAATAACTTGAGTAATGGTTTTTGTACTAATAGTAACACGCAGTCCAACTTAGCTAGAAGCTGACCATTCTTATTGATATAAGTTAGTGCGAAAGACCAATGTCTGCAGTTTCAACAGTGCTATGTTGAGAGAGAAATAAAGAGACAAGAAACTCCTAACATTTTATTATTATCTTTATATCTATAGAGCAGCATTTTTAGGAATTTTCATTATATTGTTACTATTTAAAAAAATAGTTACGGCATATCAGAGTAATTATGTCATGATTAATTTTTTTTGGAGTTTATATTCGACATGCGATTCGTCCCTAATATAATGCGTAAAGGCGTAGGCCTTTTAGAGACCCATTATATTAGAGACTATACTATTAAGCCACCACTGACTACATTACAGCATGTAAAGAACAAAGTTACCATCGACGAGTTAACACTCGAACTGGAGAACGTGAAGTTATCCTGTGTAGTGTTAAACAGAGACTATGCGACTAATCAAGAGAGAAACCTATTGGCACCGACTAGTTTTAAGCTGTTTGTGAAGAGAAGCTTGTCTGCGTGGTACGAAACATTACCGGATCTTGATATATCAGGACGTATGAAAATGATTGCTGTAAGTTTCTTTGGATATTTATTACCTTATTATTTGTTACTTTTGAAATATGTTCATGTGGCTAACGTCGTCCAAACTTAGCAGCAATAACCTATAAAACGTTCAACTAATTGTAGTCGGGTGTCAGACATACTTGAAATTTAGTTTGGTACAAATAAACTAACACACCTACAATGGTAGGTAATTAGTGGCATTGGGTGGATGTACTTGCCCAGTCGGGTGTTAGGTGCAGTCCGCTGTACCTGTTTCTGTGAATTAATTACTTATAACAATTTCCTCTTTTCTAAAAATCTGATTATTACCTACATAAATGTACTGCAGCAAATACAATCAAGGTTGCATTCAATTTATAGAATAAACTGATGTCTTCTGTACCTCGACCAGGGCCTCAATTCTGCTATTTTATGTTTACGACAAGCCAGTGTCATACCACTGACACGCTATTGAGATGCCATCGAGTGGCCATTGGCATCGGTATAGATATCGGTAGTCAAAAATATATTACGTTTTTTGATGAAATGATTTTTTTATTTTTATTATAATAAATTATTAAAAGAAATAAATAAATAAAAATAAATTATTTAAAAAATAAAATCATAAAAAAAGTAATAAATAAATTATTAAAATAAAAAATATAAAAAAATATTAAAATTAATAAATAATTTCCTTATTATTTGAAAATATATTACGTTTTTTGAGGAAATGATTTATTTATTTTTATTATAATAAATTATTAAAATAAATAAATTAAAATAAGTTATGAAAAACTAAAATATAAAAAATTATAAAAAAAAGAAATAAATAAATTATTAACATAAAAAAATAAAAATAATATTAAAATAAATATATTTTCAAATTATAAGGAAATGATTTGTTTATTTAAATTGTTTTTAATTTCAATTTTTTTTAATTCCTTTTTTTTATAATTTTATATTTTTAATAATTTCATATAATAAAAATAAATTAAAATTAAAATTCATTTCCTCAAAAAACGTAATATATTTTCAAATTATAAGGAAATGACTTATTAATTTAAATATTTTTTTATCTTAATAAATATTATTTCTTTTTTTAATAATTTTATTTTTTAATAATTTATTTATTTATTTTAATAAATTATTTGTTCTTTTTTATAATTTTTATATTTTATTCTTAAATAATTTATTTTAATTTATTTATTTATTTTTTTATAATTTTTATATTTTATTCTTTAATAATTTATTTTAATTTATTTATTTCTTTTTTTTTAATTTTATTTTTTTAATAAGTTATTTTAATTTATTTATTTCTTTTAATAATTTATTAAAAACAAATAAATCATTTCCTCAAAAAATTTAATATATTTCCAACTACCGATATTTATACCGATGCCAATGGCTACTCGATGGCATCTCAATAGCGTGTCAGTGGTATGACACTGGCTTGGCGTAATAGCAGAATTGAGGCCCAGGTTATTTATATATTGAAATATACTTTATTGTGTCACGAATACGTTTTTCAATACGATCAAATCACGAATACGCAATTAATTTAATAAATCAAACCCATATCAATCAAATTCTTTCAGATTACAGTAGGTCATAGCGACTACAAAAGCATAATGAATATTTTACAACAAAATCTAACTGAGGGTCAGAAGAAAGTCCCTGAGGAGAAACCGACGCATAAGGTGGTGGCTAGCACTTCCAAGGCTCAAGTTAAGGCTAAGGACTTGAAAGTTCATACCAAAACGACATCAGCGGAAATTATAGCGAAGCAAAAGAAAGCTAGGACCAGTATAAAGTTTGCATTTACAATGGACAGCTTCGTTATTGATCTTTTCACAACTACCAGTGTAAGTTGCGTTTATGTTATTTCTAACTTATAAATAACTATTTGTATGAAACTTTACTTAATCCTGATCTTTCTCGGAAACAGGTATCCTGTTTTTTTTATCTGATGAAGGTCCCCTAAGACTATTAAAGTACTCCCGACAAAGTGTATGCAAAATTTCACAATGATAGTTGCAGCAATTTAAACGAGAAAACGCAACAAATAAACAAACATACTCACGTTTTCATTGATCATATTAATTAGATGCAATGATTAAAGAATATATTGTAATTATATAAAGAAGTGTTTTCAATGTATCACTGTCTCGTCTTTACGGAGCACTTGAATAGGAATTAAGAATTCTAGACAAATTAAACTGAAATAAGTAAGCTAATGAAACCCAGAAATAAGTTCAAAATCTAATATATTTCAATTTTTTGAACTAACTGTATCCGTGAACCGTATATATTTTGAGAAATAGCAAAACAGGTAATATTTGTTTCATTTTCGCGCGTTCCCATAGACATCCGAAGACCTAATGTTCGTTCAAGACGCGGAACTGGCACGATTCTGTCTGGCGCTCCTCTCAGTGAAGGGGAGGATGCTCACAGACGGGTCCATGCAGACCTCTCTTCTACTCGTCGATTGTACACTCGATGACACCAGACCTGGCAGAGGTGATAAGATAACTAGGTATGTGGTAGTTTTTTTATCAAATATTATATCATACGTATGAGAAAAGTAATCTGAATATATTTAATTCATTAATTTTAACATTTAGTTCTTGACAAGATTAATCAAACTTGTCAAGAACTAAATGTTCACTGCTGTACCATAGTTGACATCCACTTTTATTACGAATGGAAGTAGATTTATGGAGAAAATAGATTATAATGACAACAATAGTATACCTAGACTAATTTAAAATTAAATTAACTTACCTAGAGTAGAGATTTTTTTTTTGTTTTACCCATTCTCACATTCTGTTACACAGATAAAATATATTGTTTACGTTTTTATTGAAGTATAATAAAAAAAACAACTTAAAATAAATTATAATACAAAATATTACATGTGCGTCTACATTCATGAATACTAAATATGTGTGTACATTTCTAGGTATCTTGAGCGACATCGTGGCAATAGAGGTGACTCGCCCGAAACACCGGAGTCTTCAGAAGGCCAAGATAAGATCCGAAGCATGATTGATATCACTTACTCTATGAAGAACGACGACACATTCAGTAAGTTGTTATGAATGGATTTTAATCAAGGATTTTTAGTCATGTCGTGTAGACCAACACTGCTGGTAATTGCTGTAATTTTAGAGTTCCGTAACCGTAGCGTACCGATGAAAACCGATTACCAGGTGCACGTCTTTTTTGTTTTATTCTTTCACTTATGTGCATTATTAGGCTGAAACGTTTTACTTTTAAATTCGCCAAATGTAAATGTTTATCGGTCGGTCTGTCTCTCAGCGAGCTGTAGTTCACGAACGCAACACACGCAGTGAACAGTTCTAGAAACAAGTAATAAAAAACAGAAGAACGGAGGCCTATATTTTTCCTAGATTTTAACTTATATCTCGAACTTAAAATCGATGTAACTCTTGAAACATAAAGACAAAAACGAATAAAGATTTCTAATGCACTAAATACACCGTGTTAAATTTTGTACGTTAGGATGGAATCCATAGTATGTGTGTTTCACTTGTACTTGGCTTGTTAATTTATTGTAATTCTTATTATAACTTTTTCTTAATTCGACAGTCGACATGCGAATATTCAGTTTCAATTTAATATTGGCGATGGATTTCTTGAACAAGTTGGCGGAATTTATGACTACGGGACTGGCTGTGGACGAAGAACCTGTGGATACCGAAGATGTTAAAGTTTCTAAATCAGTACAGCTGCAAGAGAAGTCATTGGAAACGATTGGGGTAAGGAAGTTTTTATATATGACTATTTCCACTTTGTTTTATGTGTCGGTGCAATTTGTCTATAATATATACCATGTGTACCATGAATTTATCTACTTAGTTTAAAATTTATGTAAAATAATGACTGAAATTATACTTTCAGAAGAAAAAGTCAACTGCTCCCGCTCCAGCTGTTGAATCCGAACTAGAAACCGTACGTCCATCCATGATGACGGTCAACATTAAGATTGAACAGCCAGACATTATTCTGGTCGAGTCTCTTGAGAATCAAACTTGCGACTGTTTAGTTTTAAATGTAAGTATTGTTTTTATACAAGTAAATAGTTTTGTTACAAAATGTGGACTTGAAAATGTCATATCAATAGCCTTTAATTGTCCACTGCTGGATATAGGTCTCTCATAGTCCTTGATAATGTACTAGATTATTATATTCTAGTTAGTTATACCATTATTATTATCATTTAGTTTAATTAGGTAAATTGCATTCGTTTCATGATCTCATCGTGATAAAGTATAGTTAGTTAATTCGAGTACAGTTTAAGTAATGTCTTCGAGTGGAGTTTACTTGGTAAAGAGCGTAAGTAAAATAATATTAAAATGCTTTCACATGCGTTTGAAGTTTATGAAATGAAGTATAAATATAGTTTTCAGAAACGATAGTAGATGAAGAGTTTTTAGTTTAATTTAAAAAATGATTGTGGCTCACAGTAAACACGTAGATGATAATATCGATAAGAATAATTCATATTTATCATCTCAGTGCGCGCTCATCGGTTAAAACATATCATGAGTGGTTCCTCCATATATTTTCGGCTTCTTTAACGAAATCTTTCCTTTAGATGTAGGGAAGCGAGAACAAAATATATTACACCTAAAAAAGTGTACGGAAATTAAATCAAAATTATTAAAAACCCCGACACACATCTTGGATTTGAAATTTGTCTTGTCTACTAGTCGAGCTCTTTCATTTGATACCCATATTGAGGGAGTCGTGAAAAGATATATAATCCGTCATTTTGTGGTGGCGGCCATCTTGGACCGTTTTTCGTCAAACATAGCTAAGAATACTCCTTTTAAACAAAAAAACAAAATCAAAATCGGTTCATCCGTTCGGAAGTTACGATGCCATAGATAGACGTAAAGAGTAGCGGGCTAACGCGTAAGTACGTCGGGCAGATGGAGGCGCGCTTCAAGCTGCGGCGCAGCGCGGAGCGCATGGTGGCGGACGGCGGCATCTCGGGGCTGCAGGTCGTGGTGCGCAAGCTGCGCCGCGCCGCCCCGCGCGCCGCGCCGCGCTACCTGCTGGCGCCCGCGCACCTGTCGCTGGCGCTGTCGCAGCCGCCCGCCTCCGGCATGCACGTCGACCTCGCCATCACCGACATCGTCATCACCGTCTCGCCCGGTAACGAGCTGTGCTATTCTACATCTATGTGCCGTATCGCGCAAGCCGGCAAACCGTTTTGGGAATGATAGAGTAACGAACATACTTCTTGAACGTTTAAAAAAATATGTGACTAATTTTTTTTTAGAAAAATAATAATTGTATCGAGTTCAATTTATTGTGTGAGTTGAGTTTGTGATTTTGAAATTGAAAAGTTAAAAAAATTGAATTCCCTTTACTAACTTGCATCCCTTTTTTAAGGGTAGTTTTGAAAAATTAGTAACATTTTTAATACTTATAATAAAAAGTATTTACAGCGTGTGCTACCAAAAATAACGAAATTTCATATGAATTTTCAAAAATCCTTTCTTAATTCACACCTACGGCACCTAAAGAATATTTGTGCAAAATTTCATGCTTCTTGGCCCTAAAAGGCCCTAGAATCCAGGCCCAAAGGTTTCAGCTGCGCGCTGATAGATCTGTCAGTAAATCAGTCTATCAGTTTCTTCTTTTATATATATATCATTATCATCATTCTAATGTTATAACCTTAAAAAATGGATGAAGCGGATAACCATTTGGCCAATCCCTGAAACGCAGTATCCGGCCTCCGAATATAGGGTCGAACGCCGTCGTGACTTCTTAATATAAAATCGTATCGTATCGTATCTTAATATAAAATCGAAGTAAGAATTCGATCTTCTTATGCTTTGTTCGCATAAGACGGCTCCTCCGATCGAATCTTTAAGCGGCAGTATAAAACAAAGACGAAGACGAATCGATGAGATTTTTTTCGTCATTTAGATACAAACATATTTTATGTATATAAAAACATAAGTTGCTTTTTAGTAGAACAATACTTTTTCGATACCGAGTCACCGCAAAGTAAATTTACATGAATTACGAAGGCTAAACCTAAAAAGATACTTAAAAATGGCATACTTAAGACCTTGCGAAACCGCGTTGTGGGTATTTTATAACCAATATTTGTATCTGTCTATGTACTTTTATATATAAAATGATGATAAAAATCCCATCTTTACAACCAAAAGAAACAGTACCTAAGATTACATAAATCACATTTGCATGTTTTGTTTACAGAAATCATAGGTTTACTTAACAGAGTGATGGCGACCATGACCAGTAGCGAAGAGCATGTCAAGGAACAAGCAGACGTCGCGATATTCTACAACCAGCTCTGGGACATAAAACCTTTCAAGCCCAACGCTTATTGGTTTTTGAAAACTGGTACTTGTATGTTTCTTTTGTATTGTTTTTGAAAGGTGGTGGGTACATTGCAATTATACGTTATTGTATTAGTTTTATTTCATTATCATACTAAACAAATACGGTATTTGCTTTATCATGGAATTATTTTGGACTTTGTTGTACATACAACTTGATACTTACAACAGAGGTCGAAATTTTAGAACACAATTATCTTGACAGTAATATTATACTAATTGATTTTATAAAATGAATTTACCTTCGTGCCTTCTCATTAAACTATTATTTTTAAACATTTCATCTCATTTCTTTTAATGAAGTCCTTTTCTAATTGTCGCTTACATGAAATACAAACCACGTTATACAACCATTTCCACATATCAATCTGGTATCAACTTTAATAGATGTTGCCGAAGAAGCGGTAGAGACCGATAGCATTGACCGCAGTACAAAGGCTCCCATCGGTGAGATTTGCCTGCTGTCGTGCCCACATATTATATTCTCTCTGGAGATGCAAATTGGTACTGAAACCATTCCCGTACTTGTGATGGAGGCTTCACTCACTGGCCAGGTCAAGGATTGGAGTTCCGATGTGAGTTATATTATAATTGCTGTGTACACCTTACTGAATTTATTACTTAGTTATTTTCCTTATTTATCGTTTAATATTACTTTAATTAAACTTATATTTTGGACTATTGATGTCTTCTCTAATTCCGTACACTAGTTTTTAATTTCAAGTACGTTTTTGATGTGAAACATTTAATGCTGTTGGCATGGCGACGCGTGGCCACACTATGTGATTAGTTTATTATGTAACATGTGGTGTGGTGACGCTTCGATATAAGCAAGATTTCGATGTTTCCCATTTGCCAGGCTCGTTTCTTTGGTTCTACATTTATTGTGTATCGTCTGACAATAATACTATTTATCTTAACATTATAAATAAATTCGGACGTTCCTCAAAATAGTACATTATTATTTCATTTGTACAAAGTTCTACATGGAATCTACGTGGGCGATGCAAGTATCATACTATAACATCTCACGAGCTGTATGGGAGCCGCTCATTGAACCGGTAGAAGTGCTTAAAGACAATCAGTACAAACATGTGCCATGGGAACTTAAAATGGAGGTAAATATATATATTTTAACATTAATATATCCATTCATATATTTCTTATTAGACGTATATCAGGTTTGCCGGCCTTTAAATTACCATAGCAATGGCAATGTCCCTATCAGCAAAGAATTCGGTGTTAGTTAGTACAAGAGAATTTTCGAATATAAACTAATATTATTAAGCTAAAGAGTTGGCTTAATCTCAGAAACGACTGGTTCGAATTGAACATTTTTTTAGTATCGTAAAGCCTATTTCTTGATGAAGGATAGGGTTTATAACATCATACATAGTATCAATAAAAATATTGCAATACTGGAAAAATTGTTCCTTTTGAGAGATTCAGGACGATGCTGCGCGGGTCAGCTAGTATCTGATAAATGATTAAAATACGTCGTATCCAACCATTTGTTCTGTAGCAAAAATAAAAGATAGTGAGAAAGAAAATAAAATGCCAGTTTTTCCTACCCAGGTAGTGATGCACACACAAGATACACTAGCAATAGACACGTTAGACGAGGCGACGAACTTGCAGAATGTTGCTCAGAGACAAGCGAACAAGACCGTCACCATCTCCAGCAGCGAGTTGTTAGAGCTCACTTGTACCAGAACCGGGATGGAGGTTTGTGTACATCCGTTATATGCATCAGTGTTGAATTAAGATAATAATTTTTGCCCCGCACAACCAATCTGTCGTATTGTCCAGGAATATTTGAAATTATGTGTATGCATAGTACTCGTATTTATCTATTGTAACGGTGCATTTCGCACCATTACAGTAATTTGAACCTTAGTCTCGTTTTTGTTTTGTTAGATTGAATTTTTTGTCGTTTCTGCGTGTGCCGATGGTCGAGGGACGGACGAGAGTAATAATCGATGTTGTTCGCCCGCGATTGGTTAGTCGATTTAGTTTTTCTTGTCCTGGCAACATTTTTGTTTCCCCGCTCTATGAAGCGAGAGGCTATTGCACTGGTATCACTTTTTTCACTTTTGGCGTCGGTCCGGGACGAAGCAGTTTGGATTTTTTTTTAAATGTAGACTTTTTGTTGTAATTTATTTCTTACGAGGGCTTATTTCTTACTTTTATTTTTCGGCCAACCTCGTTAAGAATCACATTATTGATTGAGTTTTTATTTTCGTTAAAGAGGTAAGATTTGTTCGGCCACGTGCTTCACGCTTGGCTTGGCGGAATTTGTGGTTTTAACTCTTTGTTTAATTGGTTACAGGCAATGCTTATAATGCTTATAATGCCGCTGCTTGATTTGTGAAACGTTTTGGAACCCTGGTAAGTGAAATATGATTTCTTGTCAGAGTTATGATTCATACTGTGAGATAGGCTTTTAACCTATAATTTTTCCTTATTTGCAGATGAATCAGGGTTTCTTTTTTAGTTTATATCTAAAGTTTTTTACAAGGCCTAAATTGCTTTACTTTCTTATTGGAATGTCCTTGCGTGGCATTCGATTTTTGTCTCTCGCCGGAGTTTGACCCCAAGAAATTAGTTTGCTGTGGAGCGCCAGAATGGTAGAAAAAGCTGCTTAGCTGTACGCCATGGTCTGGAGCTTGGGAGTGCTGACCCGCCTCTTCCACCACGTGGGAACCGGAGTGAGAAGTTTCGGAGTTGGTTTGATTTCATTTCGTTCGGACTGATCCAAGGTCATCGGTATGTAGTTTGGTTATATCTTTTTCTTGGCGACGTGGCATTGAACACTGCAGGTCCCCAAGGGGTGTTATTTTTCATTAGAGAGTAGGTCAATGCTACGTCTACCCTTAGAGTTTACTGTTTTGTCTATTTAGTCTTTTTGTGACTCTTTAAAATTTATTTAACCTTATATTTTTCTTATTGGAAAGGATTGCATTAATGACAGTACTAATTTGTGTATAAGAATTACCTAATGTAATTAGAGACATAAGACACATTGTACTCTACAGACACTACGGGATAATAAACTGCCATTAGAACTTAACATCTTGTATTCATTAGCTGCCTCCCGCCTTGTTTTAAAAAGGTTCGAAGCTGGCTGAGATGTCCGAGGTATTTGTTGTGTTTGTGGTGGGTTCTGTGTTCTTTTAAGGTGGTATCTGGCGCCCGAGACTTTTATTTTGTTATTTTGTTTCTATTTGATGCCACCAATTTTAGTTTTTATTTTCTTTATAACAAACCCAACACAACATATAATGTAATTTTTTTTATTTTTTATTATTACAATTGTCGCCAGCGCTCAGGGACTGAAGTAGTGTCTGTAGGTTAATTAGATAACTGATTGGATACTGTCTTTACTGCATCCTATATTTTTCTTACATACCTTGTGTATTTTATAATTGTATTATCATTAAGTGAGGTTATTTTTACAATTTTTCAATAATAGTTTACAACATTGTGACTTTCCTTTACAATGTTATTTCTGCTTTAACAAACAACAATAATTTAAGTTATACTGCTGCCTATTGTATTCTCAGTTAAGGGTATAGTTACTGAAACATTTTGTGTTACAATTTAATAGCTTTGAATGTTAATTGTAAGTCTGCTCAAGAAACATTTTATAGATACCTCCGCTTTGGAATTATTATAATATAACTTATTGTAAATTAAGATTAACTTAACTTAGCTTAGCCTTGCTGTTATTATTTAGTTACTAGAACAATTGTTAGTGGTTACTGCAATCCTTAAATCCTTTTTAATACAGAACTTAGATATTTAAATTAAAACTTAGCTTTTTCACTTCACTTTCAAATCAATTTAGACTTTTCTTTACAATATTCAACTTTTAAATAAATTTGAACCTGGTTGTTCACAACACTTAACTTTTAAATAAATTTAAACTTATCCTTTCACAACAATTAACTTTTAAATAATTTAAACCTAGGTTTTCACAACAGTGACTTTTGAATGAATTTAAACTTAATTAATTTTAAAAAAACTTAACCTTTGAACGGCTGTTTTGGAATTGTGTGGTTAATGTCGGTTTGTAATATGGACAAGGAGGCTCCACCTTCAACGTCGCCTGCCAATGTGGATGTTGGCACAGCTGCGGATGAGTCAGCGGAGATGAGCGTCCCATTAGACTTGTCATATGTTCGTGATACTCCTGCTCTTGCACCAAGTCTGCCTTCGTTCAACAGCATGAATGAACACGTTAGGAGGAATATGCCTGCCTATACTACAAAGCTGCCTGATTTAACTAGGAGCAAGATAATCTTTGACGGTAAGACCTGTGTTAGAGAATTTATCACTCGTGTTGAGGATTACTTTGTATTCAGGAACTTTCATGAGGCTGTGTTGATTGGTTCGTTCGCTGATCTGCTTGCTGGTACTGCTGCCAAGTGGTTTAGGACTATTCGTATGAAGATCTCTTCGTGGGTTGAGCTTAGGGCTGCCTTGCTTAGACGTTTTGATAGGCCGGACTATGATAGCTGTTAGGAGCATGAACTGCGCATTCGCAAACAGAAGCCTATTGAGCCCCTTCTAGTTTGAAAATTTCAGGGTTGATGACCACTCATTGTATAAATTTTGTAAGAATAAATTAAATCTGGATAGTAGATTAAATTGGAAAGTTGTTATTTCTAGGAACATATTCTTGATACTATTAAGTCTAACCATGATGATATTAATTCTGGTCATCTTGGGATTCATAAAACCACTAAGAAATTAAAACAACATTATGTTTGGAACGGTATGTTTAATGATGTTCAAAATTACATTAAATCTTGTGACACATGTAAAGCCTATAAGCACAGCACCTCACATTAATATATTCTTTCAGTTGTAGATGTTTTCACAAAATTTTGCTGGGTTTTTCCATTAGTAAAAGCTACCACCGTATCCAATTGTAGAATCCTGGAAAAAGAGATATTTCTTAGATTTGGTTGTCCTAAATTAATAGTTTGCGATGATGGTACTCAATTCACTTCTAAACATTTTGTAGATTTCATGAGAGGTTACAACATTACTAAAATTTTTTATAACACATTGTACACACCTCAGAGTAACCCTGTGGAGAGGTACAGTAGGACGGTAGGGACTTGTATTTCATGTTTTGTTAAAGATTGGATTTTGTTAGTTTGTTCTTGCTTTAAATTTTGACCTCACGTTTAGTTAGCTTTTATTGGAAGTGTAAATTTGGTTATTGGTTTTACACTTAATTTTCTTATGTTTGGTTGAGAGTTAATTTGTTGATGCTTCTCTGCACCGTCTTGGTAAATTTTTTTGTTAGTTTAGACCAACTTGAGTTTGTTACAGGGATTTTGTGCCCTTTCTTTTGCATCATTTAGTGATATTTTTTGTTAGAGTTGAGTCATATTTGTTATAAGCGCATTGCTTTATATTAAAATTATTAATATTATTTGTTGCCATTATATATTAAAATTGTTAATATTATTTGTTACTATTTCTATTTCTTTTGATGTTGGTGATATTGTTTGGATAAGAAGTTTTATTCAGTTCTAGCGCTCCAGTATATTTTTCGGCAAAGCTTGTACCTAAGTTATTAAATGTAAAAGTATAGAGAGGATTTCAGATAATGTTTACCTTTTGCTAGACCTTTCAAGAACGCCATTGGTCGCTATCACATTAAAGATATTATTAAATATTAAAATTTCACTATTCGGTCATTAACTTTAGATCTTAATTTGATATATTAGTCGGATTTCGCCTTTGTGTGTGGAAGTATGTAGATTGTGTGTGCTAGGTTATCGCGATTTGTAAGTTGATGTAGTGTAAGGTATTCTTACCGATATATTAATTTTAGGGTTTAAAAGTTCAAAAGTTTACTTAGGTCATTTTAGTTTATTATTTCAGGAACTTCATTCATAATAGAGACCACATCAAAAGATTATTTTGTTTGTATTTTATTTGCGTTTCTACCTAGTGTAGAGTGTTTTGTTGGAGTTAGGTTCGCCCTCTTTTCAAGGGTTGAACGGGTTGTTTGTTGGATTCACACTTTTTTCAGGTGTTGAATGATTGTTTCTTGTCGGTTTCACACTTTTTTCAGGTGTTGAATGTTTTGTTTCTTGTTGGATTCACACTTTTTTCAGGTGTTGAATGATTTGTTTTTTGTCGGTTTCACACTTTTTTTTCAGGTGATGATTGGTTTGTTGGTGGGATTCACGTTTTTTTCAAGCGTTGAATATTTTTGTTTGGTTTCTGTCGTATTGTGCCCGGTAGTTCGGTGGTGTTGAGCCGATCACAATACACAGGTTTTTTATATATTCTCCCCGCCTTGTTGGGATGAATATTTTTGTTTGCTTTCTGTTGTATTGTGCCCGGTAGTTCGGTGGTGTTGTGCCGATCACAATACACAGGGTTTTTTTTATATATTCACACCGTCTTGTTGTGTTGAATATTTTTGTTTGGTTTCTGTTGTATTGTGCCCGGTAGTTCGGTGGTGTTGTGCCGATCACAATACACAGGGTTTTTTTTATATATTCACACCGTTTTGTTGTGATGAATATTTTGTTTGGTTTCTGTTGTATTGTGCCCGGTAGTTCGGTGGAGTTGAGCCGATCACAATACACAGGTTTTTATATATTCTCACCGCCTTGTTGTGATGAATATTTTGGTTTGGTTTCTGTTGCATTGTGCCCGGTAGTTCGGTGGAGTTGAGCCGATCACAATGCACAGGTTTTTATATATTCTCCCCGCCTTGTTGGGATGAATATTTTGTTTGGTTCGACATGTTTGACATGTGTTTGAAGTTAGGGTGAAGCATTTTGTAACTCCATTAGAGTCGGTGACGAAGGTGTCCAACCGCACTTCTTGGATATTGATATCTTTGAGATATGCATTTCCTGATGGATGTTGTTTTGTTTTGTGTAGTTCGTAACTCCATTAGAGTCGGTGACGAAGGTGTCCAACCGCACTTCTTGGATATTGATATCTTTTAAGATACAATTCCTAATGGATGTTGTTTGTGAAGTTTACTTTGTTGTTGTTTGTGAAGTTTACTTTGTTGTTGTTAGTGTATTTTGTTGTAGTTTGCAGCTCCATTAGAGTCGGTGACGAGGGTGTCCAACCGCACTTCGTGGAAACTGGTATCTTTTTAGATATACAGTTCCCAATGGAAGCAGTTTGTGTAGTATATTTTGTTGTGTTTGTAGCTCCATTAGAGTCGGTGACGAGGGTGTCCAACCGCACTTTTTGGACTTTCCAGTCCTAATGGTAGCTTGGTGTAGGGATTTGTTTTTGGGTTTGTGTGGTTCTGTTGTAGAGTTTATTTTGATCTTATATTTAGTTTCCTAGTCCTTTTTGGCGTATGGATTTTTGTATTCTTGGAGTTTGTAGAGTTTTAGTGGAGTTTGGTAGAGTCAGTTTGGAGTTTAGATATTTTGCAATCTTTTTGTTTGATATGTTTGTAGAGTAGTGACTTTTCAGCATAAAAGAAAGAGTCCTTTCTTTTATTTTTTTCGGGAAGGTATGTAATGTAACGGTGCATTTCGCACCATTACAGTAATTTGAACCTTAGTCTCGTTTTTGTTTTGTTAGATTGAATTTTTTGTCGTTTCTGCGTGTGCCGATGGTCGAGGGACGGACGAGAGTAATAATCGATGTTGTTCGCCCGCGATTGGTTAGTCGATTTAGTTTTTCTTGTCCTGGCAACATTTTTGTTTCCCCGCTCTATGAAGCGAGAGGCTATTGCACTGGTATCACTTTTTTCACTTTTGGCGTCGGTCCGGGACGAAGCAGTTTGGATTTTTTTTTAAATGTAGACTTTTTGTTGTAATTTATTTCTTACGAGGGCTTATTTCTTACTTTTATTTTTCGGCCAACCTCGTTAAGAATCACATTATTGATTGAGTTTTTATTTTCGTTAAAGAGGTAAGATTTGTTCGGCCACGTGCTTCACGCTTGGCTTGGCGGAATTTGTGGTTTTAACTCTTTGTTTAATTGGTTACAGGCAATGCTTATAATGCTTATAATGCCGCTGCTTGATTTGTGAAACGTTTTGGAACCCTGGTAAGTGAAATATGATTTCTTGTCAGAGTTATGATTCATACTGTGAGATAGGCTTTTAACCTATAATTTTTCCTTATTTGCAGATGAATCAGGGTTTCTTTTTTAGTTTATATCTAAAGTTTTTTACAAGGCCTAAATTGCTTTACTTTCTTATTGGAATGTCCTTGCGTGGCATTCGATTTTTGTCTCTCGCCGGAGTTTGACCCCAAGAAATTAGTTTGCTGTGGAGCGCCAGAATGGTAGAAAAAGCTGCTTAGCTGTACGCCATGGTCTGGAGCTTGGGAGTGCTGACCCGCCTCTTCCACCACGTGGGAACCGGAGTGAGAAGTTTCGGAGTTGGTTTGATTTCATTTCGTTCGGACTGATCCAAGGTCATCGGTATGTAGTTTGGTTATATCTTTTTCTTGGCGACGTGGCATTGAACACTGCAGGTCCCCAAGGGGTGTTATTTTTCATTAGAGAGTAGGTCAATGCTACGTCTACCCTTAGAGTTTACTGTTTTGTCTATTTAGTCTTTTTGTGACTCTTTAAAATTTATTTAACCTTATATTTTTCTTATTGGAAAGGATTGCATTAATGACAGTACTAATTTGTGTATAAGAATTACCTAATGTAATTAGAGACATAAGACACATTGTACTCTACAGACACTACGGGATAATAAACTGCCATTAGAACTTAACATCTTGTATTCATTAGCTGCCTCCCGCCTTGTTTTAAAAAGGTTCAAAGCTGGCTGAGATGTCCGAGGTACTTGTTGTGTTTGTGGTGGGTTCTGTGTTCTTTTAAGGTGGTATCTGGCGCCCGAGACTTTTATTTTGTTATTTTGTTTCTATTTGATGCCACCAATTTTAGTTTTTATTTTCTTTATAACAAACCCAACACAACATATAATTTAATTTTTTTTATTTTTTATTATTACACTATTTTATGTATACCATGTATTCAAAGGAATGTTTTATAGTAATCTGTTTACCATAGTATAGGTCCGTATCAGTCAGCCATGATTGAACACCTCACTCACGCCCTCAAGTTATTATTTTCTAATATATTAGAAGGAGATTTATCAAGGGTTTTTAGCTATTATTATTTCAAGGAGTTGATTTTGATGCTATAAAAATTTGCGCACTGAAGTAACATTTAATTCATGTTAAATTTTCAGATGCTAACATTATTAGGCAATTCTTTCGCGGCGGCTGTTGCTGAAGAATCTGCGGTTACATCAAAAACCCAGACTGACCTTGTAAGTTTTGTTTTATAAGACAGTTTTATAATGAAATACAACAAAAAGTGGCTTTATAATTATGATCTTTGCTTGTTAATCTACTTCCATTTTAATCCACTAGGATTTTAAGCTTAGGAACTTAGATATTGTTTAAAAACTGACGATGGGACTGACTTATTATGACTGAAATAAGAAAAGTATACAGAGATATTGGGACATAGCTAGATAGTTTTTAATTCAAAAGCTCTATGCACTGCACAACAGTTTCCATTCTATTGATGAGTAAGAGTAAGTTATGCTATCCCAGATTCTGGCCGTGGTGCTTCCCTCTTTAAAAGGGTGTATGCCCATTTTACTTCATTTTGTCTCCCGCTTTGCTTTGGGAAGTGGACTCCAATTTTCTCCTGATTAATTTCGTTGCGGGTTCCAAGACAGTTTAATTTCTTCCTGGGACTTCCCGAGTGTCATAACTCGGTGTGTTCGTTGGTCACTGCTGTGGATCCTGGTGTACAGGAGTTACAGTGGTGGGCGTGTGGGCGGGATTAGTCCCATCCCAGATTCTGTTTTGAAATTTTGCAAATTACTAGATTTATTACTATACTCATTAAAATTTTGCTGTGAACTATCCAGTCAGTATACTGGACTTAGAGTTAATTATTTAATATTTTTCAGGCATCAGAAAAGCAATTTTACGGGGCCCCGTACGTGTTACATAACTGCACTGGCTTGACTGCAAAATTATTGTTGAAGGATAACCATGACTTTTCCGTATATTTCACAGAGGGATACACTGAGAACGATTACAGGTAAGAAATATTTTTGATTAAATTCATGATAGCAAGCTCAAGTGGCAATGGCAATGGCAGAAACGAGAACCGTTATTGTAATCGACTTCTTGAGCGGAGACCGCGTTTAGGCAAACGAGTGAAGATTTGCGCAAGAAGGCTGGCAAGAGTTCGATGCGAAAAGCCGAAAATCCATCAAAGTGGCGTGCTATGGGAGAGGCCTATGTCCAGCAGTGGACTGCGATGGGCTGATGGTGATGATGATAAGGATATTTTAAACAGTTATCGCTTACGGGAGATGCGACTATATTATTCAAGCATAAATTATCTAATATATAATTGGTAGGTTAGGCTTTCTACTGTTCTTTTAACTAACTTCTACAAAAGGAGGTAACATTTTAGGTTTTTTTAAAAGTATCTAATGTGATATATTTGAATACGTTAATTCATAGGGATCACAGGGATGATATCACCTTTGATATTTTTATTTAAAATTAGAATACAAATTTAGGAACATTTTCAAAAACATATTTAAGAATTATTGGATTATAGACTAAAGAACCTTTGCAAATATGTGTAAATGATAAAGCAAATCTGATTTGCAAAATACTTTTACTGTAGAGAAGTGGTGCTTGAACCGGGAGCATCGGTCCCATTGCAATTGAAACATGGCGGACTCAACTTGATGAAACTCAATGAAGCACCACCACCTCTTAAACTTAACGTTAAGGTAAGGACATAGTTTATTAATTATCGGAAGTTATATTAATGTAGTTAGATTAACACTACTCACTAAAAATAGTTTAGGATCCATTTTTAGAATGAGGCACGAGGCGTTCTGTTAATAGTGAGGCATCTCGACCGTTAATAAGAATTTTTATTGACCCTTGGCTAAGTGGATAGTTAAAACATAAGTTTGTCCCGACAGATATTAGAGATCAACGACGACGTGAAGATCCCGGTGGACCGCGCGGACAAGCGCTACTTCACGATCGGGCGCAACATGTCGGACGGTGCGCTGGACAAGAGCATCCCGCACGCCGCCGCCGTGGAGCCGCGCGGGCTCATCTCCGACGTCGTCATGCGGGACGCCGCGCTGCACATCTACCTGCGCAGTGTCGTGCAGGTGCGACCCGAGACCTTCATCATTGCACTCATAAATAAAACTTTCGACTATACACTCCTAACACAAGCAATTTAGCTTAGCGGGAGGTGTTACCGGTAATACTAGCACTTTCGGTTGCTAGTAGACCTTTAAAAAAAAAGATATGTAACGTCTGATATCTCACCTACAATGAGACCGATGAGAGTAAAAGCCGACAAAGTAATGCGTTTCCGTCCCTGCTACATACTTCCGTACATTTTCAATAAATAAATCGTTCCCAAAAGTGAGAAGACAGATGTTACATAGTAAAAATGTTTAGTCACATATTTTGTTAACTAACATTAAGACTCATTAGCAGTGATTAAACAAAAAAGGAAATCAGCTGAAGAACAAAAATTATTTTTTGTTAGCCTATTTAAAGATGTGTATGTTGAATAATTATGCATTTCTTTAAATGTATTTAAAACGAATTCAGTAAGAAACGAATGGCTAATAGACTCTAATAATAAATAAATAACAATGTGTATTATATAAAACTTTAATGTTATAATATTATTTATTACAGGTTACAAACAAATTGTCTGTGAATGTGTCAGTTTACTACATGACTCTTAGCGGTAACGAAGTGCGTCTGCTTGGTGAAGTGAAGCCAGACGACATCTTGAGATTACCTCTACAAGCCGTACACACACCCACCGCTGAAATATTCTTCTCTGTGGAAGGTACTTCGAAATTTATTAATATTAACGTTTCATAATAAATAATATTGATTTATCACTTTTTTAACGTACCCCTTCAATGCTTTTGTTCCTAGGCTTTACTGTGTCCGTATCTCCGTTTGTGTGGCGAGAACTCCAACAAGAAGTAAGGATATCGAAGCTGTTGCAATGTGACTCTAAAGATAAAAGTACGGGAGAAAAATTCTATCTGAAGGTAATTATTACTAAAGTGATTCATCTAAAATCTCTTGTGTAATTGAACTATGCCTTCTCACCAAGTAAAATAATGTGTATGAAGTATGAGTAAAATAATGTGTATGAAATTTGAAATCATATCTTTATGACCCTATAGTTTCTGTTCAAAGAGAGAATTAGGTTAATATGCCTCACATTGAAAGATTTATAATTTGAAATAAGTTTAATCAAGATACAGTGTCTTTGCTTTCCGACTAAATAAAGATCCGATGTGTGCGCTCTGCAGACAAAGTAGTTGTAATCCAGCCTTGAACTTATCATAATGCAACAGCTGGTCTGTTTCACTTCCGCATTTGTCGCTGGAAAGTACAACGCAATTCGTTTCATTTTTAATATACTGAGTCGATGTCAGAACAATAAAAAAAAAGCATTTAGAACTATATTAAATTCAATAATACGGATTATTAATACCGTTTCTAAGCTATTTATCTATTAACTTTTATATAGGCAGTGGGTACGATGGAACAAGTATTCTTCGAGCACACAACCCGTCACACATTTGCATCATCTTGCTACGACTTGGTCCTAAAGCCGGCTGTGAAACTACACAACTGCTTGCCTGTAGAGATCGTAGTATCACAGTTAGGTCTGATGAGGACACAAATATTTAAGCCAGGAGAAATGTTCCACTTGGTGCATCTGTCACCAAACAAAGCTTCTATTGTTATTATGGTAAGTTTAAAACAAAAATTTATGAGCATATTAAATATTCAAATCTTCAAGTATTTATCTTCGTCAGACATTCATAATTGTATAAAGAGTAAAAAATATATATTGACATGTTAGTAATAAAGCGCCTTGATAGCTATAAAACAAAAAAAAAACAACTGTTTTCTGTTATCTATTACGTTTATAGATCTCTAAATATCATCGGTTGGCACCCTTTACTGGGACTAAAACCCCTGTTTTGAGAACTTCATTATTTATCATATCAGGACTATAAACACTAAAGCACTCATGAGGTTAAATATTCAAAAAAACGATTAATACGAGGGGTGATCAATAAGTAATGATAATCAATATGAAACAGAACTATTAGATTAAAAAAAGTATTTTATTTTTCAACATAGTCTCCTTGCAAGTTAATACATTTAGTGTATCTTTTTTCTAAGCCCATGATTCCCTTAGAAAAAAATTCTTTGTCTTGACCCTCCCAAAATGCCTCTACTGCGGCCATCACTTCACTATTGTCCTCAAATTTGTTGCCCCGGAGGTGTTCTTTGAGCCGAGGAAAGAGGTAGAAGTCACTGGGAGCTAGATCTGGCGAATAGGGAGGATGTTCGAGCAGTTCGAACCCCGTTTCTTCAATGGCAGCCATCGCAACTGCGGCTTTGTGAGCCGGGGCGTTGTCTTGGTGAAACAGCACTCCAGCGCGCAGTTTACCACATCTTTTTGACTTAATAGCTTCTCGCAATCTTCTTATTTGGCCTGCGTAGTAAGAGCCTGTTATAGTGGCCCCCTTTTCCAAATATTCCACCATAATAATTCCTTCTGCATCCCAGAAAACAGACGCCATAACCTTTCCCGCTGAACTTGACACTTTGAATTTCTTCGGCGTTGGTGAGGAAGCTCGTTTCCAAGTCATTGATTGTTGTTTGGTTTCGGGATCAAAGTGGTGGATCCAGGTCTCGTCCATGGTCACAAAACGCGACAAAAAAAATTCTTTATCGGCCTGGAACTTTGAAGATTCACCCTCGAAATGTCGACTCGTTTCTTTTTTTGCTCGTCGGTTAACATTCTCGGTACCCAACGCGCAGAGACCTTTTTCATATGCATTTTGTTGACAATGATTTTTTGAACGCTGCCATAGGAGATCCCTGTGACCTCAGCTACATGCCTTACGGTCACCCTTCGATCGGCCAACACGATATCTTCCACTTTTTTGACGTTTTCTCCAGTAAGGGACGTGGAAGGGCGTCCCTCGCGATGTTCATCTTCAGTGGAGGTTCTGCCCAGCTTAAATTCCTTTGCCCAGCGTGCGACTGTGGAATATGGAGGAGCAGACTCCCCCAATGTTTCTTCTAAGTCGCTGTGTATGTCTTTGGTAGACATTTTTTTCAGGCAGACGTACTTGATGACAGCTCTTATTTCATTTTTCTCCATTTTGATGTTTTCTCTTCGACAGTTCGTATTCAAATGAATGTATCTCCCGGTAATGGTGTCCTATTTATACATTTTTTTGAAGCTGAAGTAGTGGATATATAAGCAAGCAGAAAAAAAATAATTTAGGTTTTTGTGCGTTCTAGAAATACTCGATTATCATTACTTATTGATCACCCCTCGTATTAATAATAATAATTATTATATTGCTTCAAGAAAATGGCCAGCAGCTGACTTTGCCTACCTTGAAGAGAAACTAGACGTGAATTTATTGTACTCGTATGTATGCATCAAGTTATTTTTTTTTAGATTCCAAACTACCTGGACAAATGCTGGGTGTGTACAAAGAATCTACCAGACTCCGAGACAGAATTGTCTGTGTGGTCATTCGAATCCCATGACAGTCCGTCGGTTATGACCTTAGACTTGGGTATGCATAGCGTGGACATGGAAGGCACGCAAGTGTTGTCGCTCTACTGCCCGTTCTGGATGTTGAACAAAACTGGATTCACGTTATGCTATAGGGTGAGCATATTTCAATATTTTATAGGATAGTAATTTGTTTTACAAATATCATTGGTTCTGAGTTATGTTAAATTATTAAGGTTTCGCAGTTTCGCTATTGAAATAGTTATATACGGGCTAAAATTTGGTTAATTGAAGTATCTCATTTTAAGTGGTTTAGTGGCGAACTTCTATCGTCATCTGAGGCGTGTTGTGGGTTCGATTCTCATATGGGGTATTTTTTGTGGAATTCGCAAATATTTAACTACTTTCACCCGCGGCATCGTTCGCGTATATGTAGATTTTGCCAATCAATTTAAATATCCCTCGGGAACAGCATTATTTTCTGGGTGAAAGCCTTCCTAAGTCATACGAGAGCGTTACAGACATAGAAACGACGCTTGGAGTTAAAAGACTGAAGTGGTAGTGGTAAAGTCTCTTGTAATGTCAGTTTATCCTTTTTTTATTATATGTACCTACTAATGTCATTAAAACAAAAATATTATCGAACTAAAGTTAGGCCGTATTTTTTATAAATATTCTTTAGTCGTCGAAAAATATTTGTTGGTAAGAAAATTATTTGAGACATATTTAATAAACTTTTTATGTTATTTTCTTAGATATAAATAGACGAGGTAAAGTATTCCGTAGTAACAGTAGCAACAACTACCTAGATTCCCAACGGCAAATTTATTTCGAGTTATAAAAAATTCTAGAGGTAAATGCCATTTTTTTTTTCGGGTGATTAAATTCTTTATTGAAATATTAGCCGTTGGATATCCAGAATGTTTCAAAATACCTACAGCGGGGGAAGATTTTAGTCACTCGCACGCCATCCAGTTGACGCATTTGTTTTTTATTTTAATGAAATAGGTAATTGTACCAAAAATATGGCGATTCCAAACCTACATATAATGTTAAAAAAATGCACTATTTTCTATATGTATGAGTATTGAACACAAATATGATTTTATTTTTCATTTTTACCAAAATTGTGCATTATTTATATTTACAAGTTTTTTTCTTATTAAATTTAAATCGTCAAATGTAATTGTCATTAGAAAAAGAGTGTAGATATTGGTGGACATTCCTGTTTAATAATAATTTGGCATGTATATGCATATTTATTATAGCGATGAAATGAACTACAATTATGTGGTAATGTTTATTTCTTATCTTTTATGCCTGCTACAGATAACTGAAATGCAAATATTTAAAAGCGTGTGACTAGTGTTTTCCCCTTGGGGATGTAGTTTGGACGTGATGCTCAGTACTTGTACTTGAAAAGCCAGTGTATTTTGTGCTTTCTTATTCCTTCTATATCAGCTATATATATTTCAAGCAGTGGCAATCTAAAACTACTGCCCTATTATACTAACTGTGTATGTCCAGTCATTAATTTGCATTTCGCATAATAAATTTCGATCATCCTTTAAAGTTACATAATTGAGATTGGTTATGACACATTGTGGTTACAGAAATCAAAGAAACCAGAAAAAGACTCCAGCACTCCCAACAAGGTATCTTTGAGATAGTCAATGTACAGTGAATATTTTATTTTTCCCTTTTTTACAAGTATTTTTTAAACATTTATTAATGCTCCGGTTATTTAGCTTTCTCAGTCTAACAGCTTCATCTTAAAATTATAAATATTTGGAATTTTGGTTTTCATACTTCTTAATATGTATTGTTGTTATACATATAGCATGCATCATTTAGTAGGGTCATAGATAAATCCAGAACATACAGATTATTTTCATGATATTTGTACTAGACATAATTATACGAGAATTATTTGGTAAATGTCATCATTGGGATGTAATGTTTATATATAACTCATAAAAATTACAGATTAAACATTCACGTTGCAGTAAATTTATTAGACGACATACGACATGTTTGCCGGTAAGTGCAAACATTTTAACACATTTGTAATAATTATATAAGTGATTGATGATATTATTTTGCTATTACTACATAGAGCACAAAATAGGGGTTTGGATATACTTTTATATTACCTATTTACAATGTGCCAAAGCATAGCTTGGCAAGTTATATATATGTAAGCTATGCTGTGCTTTGCCACATTGTGGTTGCATTGATGAGACATAAGAAACAAAACTGATGGGAAAAACTAGATAAAAACAACCTCTAAAGCGGGTTGTATATCATGTCATAATTTAATAAGAACAGCAACAAACAACATTTTTATATTATATACAATACTGTGTAAATATAATAAAACATTATATGTTTCTAAATGCAGAAGAGAAAACAACGTCGAATGTATGGGTAATTTTTTTCAAATTAGACTGTTTCTAAATCACGTTAAATGTAGAAACGCTTTATGGATTATATGACCCTGCTGTTTTTTTTTGCTTCGTGGTGGCACGTTTAGACATAACCAGAATTGAGAAGTCGTGTTACCCTTGTCACTCAATTAGATCAGTATTTTATAGAGGTATATTATATACAACCCATGAGTTGAAGTTATGTTTGAAAAATGGACGCTGTTATTAGAAAAATTGTTTAGACATTCCTAAAGTCCAAGTTTTTGAAATCTTCATTCACAAGATTCTTAAAGAAGTCGGGAATTACGACTAATTTCTAGTACCATTTTATATATTTATGGTACTTGGTAATTAAATTATTTTGTAAATTGTATTTGAAAGTGGAGTATAAAAAATACATTACCTGAATTAAAAACACGAGACGTTTGATAATCTGTCAACTCGTGAATTGCCTTCCTTCCAAGTGTTCATAAACGTGAACTAATGACAACATCGACATAAAAATTGTAGTTGATCATTAGGATTACTTCATTGTAATATACAGTACACCATCTATAATACTTGTGTCTGGTATGAAGTATTTCAACATATGTGCACAAAGAGCTTTTGTAAATAAGATTTTATACAGAAATTATCATTTCATCGCATGTTTATCCCGCATGTTCACTAATTATGCTATGCTAACATTTAAATCTTACACTACAATAGCAGCTGTTATTTTTATTTAAAATTAAAAAGCTTGGTTTTTCGGTAAGCAAGCACACATCATAAAATAATTAAATGCGATATTAAATGTGTAAAATCTATCTAAAATTCAGCATTTCACTGTTTGCATTTTTAGAACGTGGACGAAACGGGCAATGTTATATTCCATCCTAAAGATTACTGCGATCCAATACTGTTTTCGTTCCGTGCAAAGAATTTCTTCGGTAAGAAGAAAGCAGCTATTAGGGTAGAATTTGGAGAATGGTCCGAGAAATTTTCTTTGGACGTTCCCGGAAGCTCCGGTGTTGTGATGTGCAAATATGAAGGCAGAACTTATCAGGTATTTATTATAAGTTATTACTTTAAAAATTAAATTACCAAAAAAACTTTAATTAAGATTAAGACAGAAAACGTAAACACAGGACTGTTTTTGTTATAACCTACTTCTTATTTTAGGTGGCAGTTACCAATCAGCTCACATTCAACAGTTTGACAAAGACTGTTATCTTCACGCCGTATTTCCTGATTATCAATGAGGCTCCCTTCGCAATTCAATACCAAGAACTCCACCGACCTGGCGATCCATGGTTAACGGTTAGACGTTTCTTTTAGTACGACTTACGAATAATCCATGTATTGAGGACAACGAATCTTTAATATTATTTACATGAAATTAGTAGATACTTGTCTAATAAATTTATACTAGCTAGACTTAAGTCATGTCTGACCTTCGCAAGTAAGGATCTTGTACATTGATGAACCTATTTTAAACCTACGTTAGTGGGTTTATCTACTACTTCAGAGAGCGTAGATTAGATTATCATTAACTCAATTATTTATATGTACCTGGGTGTGTAGTGTGAATAACATGTAAATGGTTGATAATCTCTACGGTACATATCTGTTTACCGAAATCGTATCTAAGTATGTATATCCTAGAACTTATTGTACAAACCATGCTTAGCTTAGATCAAAAGAACGTTGTGTAATAGGTCAATACATATTATTTTAGACTGTAACATGTAACTGGAATAAAAAAATACTTATTATTTTAATAAATTACTTACTAGCTGTAAAATAAAATAAAAACCACACGAAAAGAAAAATAATCTTTGAAGCGTGTTCTATATCGTGTAAAAAATTGAGCTCAATCGGTCAAAACTTTTCAGTTTTTGAAGCGTACACAAAGCGCCTTAGCATTTTTAACATAAAACATTATAATATATCAGTAATCATTTTATTGGTAGGTACCAGAAAAGTCCAGCGCTCCTTTATGGCCGGTGATAGAAACAAATGAAAAGTTGTTACGTTTGCGCCTTGAGTGCTCGGATGTTACAACGGCACCTTTCCTCTACACAGAACAACACTCAGTTTGTTTGAAGCTGGATAATGAGGTGAGTTTTTAAATCAAAGTTCCATCCAGCTAATTATAATTGTGTTAAAGTCTCTAGGTACCATATAAATAAAAGATCACTTATGAGATATATTTAGTAAAAAATGGACCAGAAGTATGCAACGCGTCCCATATTCGTTATCCGATAGTTCTTGACCAAAATAGCTGTAGTGTAGTCCTGGGATACTGGTCTAGTTTGATCAGGGTAAACAATCAGTCTTGTTTACCCTTTATCAGGAATGGCACGCAAGATATTCCAATGCTCGCCGCCCTCTCTGGTCTGTCTTTTGAGATAATCGCCTGTTTTTAAGCCATCGCTACCCCTAATCTAGCCCCAAAGGTATATTTCTTTCCATTGCTGATTACGGTTACGCCTTGGTTGGGCGGCGGACTTTTTTCTTAACCATCGAAGAACTGGTGCTGTTTTTTTGTTAACTACACATAAAAATGTATTATATTATTTATTCTATAGTTTGGAGGTCTTCATGTTGAAGTGCAAATGACTGAAGGCGGTACCTACATCACTATTAGACAGTACCGCGACGGCCACGCGCCTGCACTTCTTGTTAACTTTACGCCATTCACTGTCGTGGCATATGAAAAGGAGAACGTTAATGTCAAGTAAGTTCGAAGTTTATTTTAAAATATTTGATAGTTCTAGAACTATTAGGTAGTAGAAATTAGAGAATGTTATGTTAATATATAATTTGTTTCCAGAACACTGCCGTCAATGAACACAATGTTATATACGTGGGATAACCCTGCCGGACCAAGAACCCTCATATTTGAAAGTCACGGCCGTAAAGAAATCGAAAATGATCTGAGACAGGATGGTATTGGAGAGTTTTTGTAAGTATACAAGGAATTTGTAGATTCTTTGACATATCTGCCCGTCTCGTAGAGCGCAAAATGTGTCATAGTGTCCATAATGTAGTACGGGCCAAAGATTTGTTTAACTCGTGGTGTTAGACCAGAATAAGAGTACTTCCAATAATTATTGTGTCGGTTTTATGTATGTGTGTAAAGTTCCCCGCGACACGGGATATATTCCTAGTTGTCTTTACAAAAAAAAACTATTTTGCTCTTAGTTAATTTTGTTAAAGATATTAACTTCGAGACCCACCTCTTTTATAATTGTGTATTAGGTACACCTTTTTTGAATTCTCATTAAATTGTGTTTTTTTATTTCAAATTTATGTTAAATTGATGAAAATGTTATATCAATGTTGCTCATTCCGCCTGACGTCATTTTGACATTATATAAAAACGATATGCTTATTGAGAGCGTAAGTCATTAAATTCAAAAAGAAATACTATGCATATATCGCTGATGAAGATAAATCAATACACACACATATTTTAATATTCCATATTGTGAAATAAAATGTTCGGAAATTTACAGAAACATCAATTCATATTTATTGACATTTCGCTATTCGTGAACCTTATAATGTAATTTCCGACTAGCATTTCTTATATCTGTAGAAATAGTCCAAAAAACTATATTTTTATATTATAACTTTTATAAAAAAAAGTTTTTTTTTTTTTTTTTTTTTTTTTTTTTATTTTTTTTTTTGTATAGAAATACAAAACACATTGCAACAATTGTTTCACTTGTATCGTTTTTTAGCATTAACGAAAATAATCCGATTTACTGGGTGTCGTTCCTCGACGGGCTACAACGCGTGATTCTGTTCACTGACGACGCAATATTAGCGAGCGGCGCGCACACCATCGGCGAGGCGGAGCTCGTCGACACCGAGATCGTGCTCTCCATGCAGGGAATCGGCCTCTCACTGGTCAATGATCCCGAGCGCTTGGAGATTGTCTACATCAGCATATCTAAGTAAATCTTCTTATTTCTGTTACTGCTTTAAAGTTTGTTATCTATACTAATATAATAAAGTAATACAATTAAAATATTTACAACATTTACATACAAGCACCAAAAAATTCCTCCGCATCATCGACTACCAGTGGTGTTGGCAGCATTGCCACGTTGAATAGCAATTCTAATTCTTTGTGCCAGAAAAAAAGCCGGCCTTCCTTCCCTTCCTCCTCGATCAGTTGCTTAGCTAGTTGTTTATACATAGCACGAGCACTGGGACCCCATGATCCTCCGTTATGTAACTAATATAACATAATAAAGCTGAAAAGTGTTTTTTTTTGGTTTGATTTTTAGAACGTAATACTTTGGAAATATCAATCAGATTTGGATATTTTTTTGTCTGAGGTTCATTTTAGATTTTACCAATAACGCAGGTGAAACTGCGAGTTAATAATAAAAGAAATACACAAACATGTTTTTTTCAATATATTTGATTTTATCGAAGTAGAATAAATACTTCTGCAGTTTTTGTGCATGAACTGTACCGTATATAAATGTGTACTGTTATTAGGTTTCACACTTTATAAATAATGTTATAAGAATGGAATTCATAGGATACTTCTGAGGATAATAGTAGAAAGAAGGAGAGGAGGGAAGAAAACCTCAAAATTAGGAAAATTTTAAGTACACATTTTCTCCAGTACTTTTCGACATTATAATCGACTCCTATATTTCAGTATTTAAATAGTTCGTTTTATACCCTTAAAATGATTTCTTGTTATAATTTGATTTATACTCGCCACATAACTTCGTTTTAGTTCCGGCATTATATGGGAGCAGTGCAAGATGGGCGCTAGACGTTTCAAGAAGGTTGATGAATCTAAATTGATGCAACTTGAGGAAGCTTACCAACGATACACGACTGCAAAAATTGTGAACGATCAACCTCCTTCACCCTTAGTTATGATTGACGAGAAAACTGAGGTATGTAGATCAAACCAGCTAGATAGCGATTTTAGCAGTGTGAAGTCCACCACAGAGCACATCCCTGCGAAACTATTAGTTATAAAAAAATGGGGATGCGAACAAATAAGTCTGCTGATGGTATGTGAATACCGCCGCCCACGGGCACTTGTATTCTATAGATAGAGAGGGCCTTTAAATACCCCTTATTACAAGGGGGGAGGTAATACCAATGCAAGGCAGCCAAGTTAGAACTAATTTTAATTTTTGTACAGTATGTAATATTTCAGTTTTGTTTTTACCACTTCATAATCTATTTACTTGAATGATGGCTAAGCGTAATACACATTTGAAAAGTCAGGATTAAAGTATCATCCAGTTACGTGAATTTATTCTTCCCACAGGTACATTTCGAAGAGATGCGTATTACAAAGCCCTCTCCTCGTCTGTTACGTCGCACGTTAGAAGCGGGTCTGTGGGTCTCGTACGGTTTGACAGCACATTCTAGAAGACTGCACGCCAGATTACATCGACTTCAAATAGATCAACAATTGCCATTGCCAACTTTCCCTGTAGTATTGGCACCCGTTCCTCCACCAAGATCTGTTGCGAATGACGATCCTTGCGGTAAGTGTTTCGGTATATGCGATAGAATATGAAATGTTATAAGAAAAATAATAAGGTTCTATAATCGTGTGGGAAGTCAAAACAGGTATATTGTTACCTAAAAATACGACATATAGAGCTGACTTAAAAAATAAAACTTTGTTCGTAGTTGGATTTATTTTAAAACCATTTCTCCTTTCGGAGATATAAATATGCAATTGCATTACAAATGGACGTGACCAAGATAACGCCGTGCTTATGAATGTCAGTATGAAAATGATCAGTTTTTTTGCAGTTAGTGGTGTAACAAGAAATTCTGATACATTATGTATACTTCGTTGCTCGTTCTAATTTCACTTTACAGTAATCCTCTGAAAAGTTTGAAGGGATGCGTTGAATTAGTCTTATGGCTTTTTGTAAAGATTTCTCTCAAATAAATTATGCTCCGAATAATGTCACGTTAATCAGCCAGTTTGCCCCTATTGTGTCAGTCTCTTAGTTATTTTTAATGAAGTACAAGAATTATTATATTATCTTGATTGTTGTAAAGACTTCATAAGAGAAACAGAAACTTGAGATTCTCACCACGGCTCTGTGTTATTAAAAAACTAAGAAATCAATATCGTTACGATGTTACTCTAACGATATCTAGTTTTGTGCTATTTGCCCCGCCGTTGCCTGATTCATTTATTCATACATCACCATAGAACCATTGGATCCGTCAAAATAATGTAATTTATAAGAACTTATGTTTTAGGAATGAAACCATTCATAGAAGTAGCTATCGTGGAGCGTATAATGCTACACAGTAAAGTCCGCCAGTACAAGTACTACAAGGTGCTGATCCAAGAGTTCCACGTAAAAGTTGACATGGGGCTTATCAACGCGCTGTTGAGTATCTTCCCGCAGAAGACACTCTCTGAGCAGGAAGCAGTAAGTCATAATTAAGGAAAATATTTTTCAAACTTGAGGTTGCTGTAAATATAAGAACCGCCTCCAGCACCATAATACTTAATACTCTAATTACTTATGGGTATTGATACATTATAATATCATCACTTTTGACATAAATCCTGATGACATACTATATTGCAGCTTGAAGCATTCCAACAAGATCTACAAAGAGCAGCACAACCGTTAGCAGCACTAGCAGCACTAGGAGTGGCTTCAGACTCCAAGAATTTCTACGACAATCTACATTTGTCCCCACTGAAGGTACTTATGTAAGGCTAACCCTAGACAATCGTTAAGTTTTAATGTCTTCTTGTAATGTTTTGTTTTCAGTCATAATTCAAAATTCGAACACAGTTTTATGTTATCAAGAATCATTGAAACAATTAAGTTCTTGTTTTCAGGTCCATGTTTCCTTCTCGTTGGGTGGAACGACTCAATTGCCTTCGTTCGTGGGAACAGTGTTACAGAGCATCGGCGTCACATTAACAGACATGAATGACGTTGTTTTCAAGTAAGTTTTGTAAGAGTTTTTGCTAACAATAGCTAAAGTAGCTTTGTCTGTGGGTTTGTAAAGAACAAAGGATAAAACTTTTCCAATTGTCCAAGTTAAATTAGGAAAATGTTTGTATCCATAAATTTGCATCCTTATAAAACTCGACATTGTAATAGCAGTAATAGAGGCTACTTTTGGTTACTGGCGTTACGTTGGTATCCGACCGAGGATTCAATAAGACGTGACTAGTACGTAATTATTTCTTTATTAAATAGTAAATAAGATAATAATAAAATCAATAAAATAGTAATAAAATTTAGTAATAGTAAATAAGTAAATATTACGCAACTTTCTAATTATATTCATTTACCTTAAGCTGGAAGGTAATTTATTTGTTTCTGGCTGGAGCTGTCATATTTTATTTACCTTGTTAAAGTTTAACATCTCATTTATCATTTGATGGATTTTAATATCAGCGAAATTGCAAAATAACTATTCTTCCATAAAATATTTCATCCCAAATTCCACAACTTTCTTCTCCAAGGTCCAGGTTATCTCTGTACCGAAATTTCTAGAAATTGCTTAAGCGGATTAGGCATTAAAACGTAACACACTTACAGGCAAAGTTATTTTTTCTTATATAGCATTATTTTACGCTATCATTTCGTAAGCATAACTCATAGACAAGAAGAATTGTAAGTATAAAGATAGGTGTAAAATATAATTTTGTTTCCAGATTATCGTACTACGAGCGCACGTATGAGTTCTTATCGCAGAAGGAGTTAATTGCCCAAGTCCAGAGTCACTACACAGGACAAGCGCTGAAGCAGCTGTACGTGTTGGTACTCGGTCTAGATGTGATCGGTAATCCTTATGGGTTAGTCGTTGGGTTGAAGAAGGGTGTTGAAGATTTGTTCTATGAGCCTTTCCAGGTATGGTCCTCCATTATAATTCAGTATAAAATATATTGCTAACAGTATTAGATTCGAATAGCAAATTAATTACATTTTTGTATCTGCTTTGATGTCTCTTAGACTCTTTAATCTTTCAGTCATAAACCTTAAAATCGTCTACCTTTAGTAGATGTAGTTCCTGTTATCACCGCCATTTTGCCCAACTATAATATTTTTTTCCAACTCACGTACCTTTAGCCGTCAATTTCATTTTGGAAATTAGGAAAATTAGAAGTAAATTGCAAAAAAAACTTGATGAGAAGGGAAGGCAATTGAAGGAAAGCAATATTGCTTATACAGATGGGTTGGGGAGTGTAAGCTATAACTCGAGCTGATTGGAATCGAATCGAACTGTCTATTCCTAGAGAATCACAGCCATCAAATCTTGCCTGAAGTGCTGTTTAATATAAAAACTTTGCATTCATATGTATCTTTGATTAGAATTTTATCGAAGTTAATTGTATACAGGGTGCTATTCAAGGACCGGGTGAATTTGCCGAAGGTCTATTCCTCGGTGTAAGATCGCTGGTGGGTCACACAGTGGGCGGGGCGGCTGGCGCCGTCTCACGTATTACCGGCGCTATGGGACATGGACTTGCTGCGCTCTCTCTAGATAAGGTGCGTTTTTACTTTAAAAATCACAGTTTGTAAGTCGTTGTTGTATAGTATGAATATTATGCGTGCACCTCTTCGCCGATTATTGACAACGTACAACTCACATGTTACGAGCTTGGATATTTTCGCTCTCACTCACTCTAAATTTAAAAAAATTGCCACTGAAATTCTTGCTGATCTATGATAACATTTTCAGTTAACTACCTACCTATCTTATATTATTACATATAATTCACCGATTGTGTATAGTGCGCGTCCGTTAGCTTTTCTACTTCATCTATTAACTCGTGGACAATAGTGTGGGTTATACGTTTTAAATACGTAAATGCTAAATCAATTGTAAAGACTGCATTGTATAACTGTTTTTTGTCCCTAATAAATAAAATAAAAATAAAATTATTGCTCGAAATGTAATTCCGAATATACCAAAGAGATCAAGTGAACAAGAGTGAATTAACGATTAACTAATGCCAGTAAAACAAAGGCACGGATGGCGTAGTGGCTTAAGCGGTCGCCACGCCGTTTCCTACTGTGCTGCTGTGGGTTCGATCCCCACATGGGATACCACTTTGTGTGATCCACAATTTATTGTTCTGAGTCTGGGTGTTCTTTGTGTCAGTTTCATTTATGTTTGTAAAGTCCCCGGTGACACAGCTAGGATATATATTCCTAATGCGGGAGTTGTCTTTTTAAAAAAGACAAAAAAAAGGCATAAGTATTCAAAGTTAGCAATCGTTGCTTTCGCAGTAACATTTCATGTTTTGTTTTCTTACGTATGTGAGCAAGATCACCTTCTTCTCAGCTACTTAAAGCCAAATACACGTTATCAAGTTAATTGAAGTATATAAAAGAACAGAAATCAAGCATTTTAACAACTACTTGGATTCTTTTTAGTTAGTGTTTCTAGAACAAAAAATACAGGTCCATTAATTTAACTTCGCTTGCATAATTTAGAATCCTCCAGAAAATTTACAAAAAAGAAATACCGGGTTAAGCTCGATATTTCTTTTTTGTAATTTTTCTAAAAATCGTTGGAGCCGTCTCCGAGATTCAGATTATATATATATATATATATATATATATATATATATATATATATATATATATATAAGAAAACAAAACATGAAATGTTACTGCGAAAGCAACGATTGCTAACTTTGAATACTTATGCCTTAAAATATGTATATTGTAAATGTACGAATAATCGAACTTTTCAATAACCTGCCATTTTCAATCCAGACGTCTTTTAGTATTTAAAATACAAGCCATACATGTCTGCGTCAATGAAGTTAGCTGCAAACCGAATGTTGCGCATGTACACTCGCAAACAAACGTGAATTATTAATTATTTATTTCATTTCTCTTAATAATAATATATTAATAGTTTTGTGTACTTGTCTACTTTAGGACAGATACGCTTTAAGACATATTCGCTTCGCGGACTTTGTACAGTCGTGTTGAAATTGTCTCGACGAATATTAACGAATTAAAAAAGAAATTGGACATTGTGCAAATACATAATGTCGAAAATTGCTTACAGCTTTTTTTTCTTTTAAATGTGATGAGCTTAAAAAAAATAGCTGCAAGCAATTTTCAACCTAATAGAAATTTTCTTAATATCTCATTCCTTTTTTTGCGACAAACAACAAACACACATTTTTAGAGAAATGAAATTATGGGCGAAAATTGTTTGCAAGGGTTTTTTTTGTTATATGTATGTACGTGTTGACTATTATAAAATTAGGTCAGAGGCGTATTTTCGACCTATTTTATCAGTAATTATATACAAATGTTCCTGAAAGTGGAACTTGTGTCATTTATTTTATTAAGTGTGTTCAATTCTTTTTATAGTTCGTTCGCTTTTACCGATCTTAATTTGTCTAGATTACTTATGTAGATTTACTTGTAAAATCTAAAAATATACGAGCTTTAACATACTTATTTTTGAATGTTTAAATAAAATAGAAATACACGAGCTTTAACGAGCCGTAACATACATAATTATTTCATCAATGTATGTATATTACAGTATTTATTACATACAGAACATACATCTGTAAAACAATAATCGATTTGTAAGTACAAAGAAATTATATCAATATCTCTTCTTAAGAATCGGATATTGTAGTAATCGATTTCTTTGACCCCCTCTCTATTCTTCAATCTGTCAGAACTGTCAAACGTTACCTCTAAGATTAGATGGACTATAATACAGTTTATTGAAAGTTTCAAATTAGAACTTGTGTTAATTAATAGGGGTCGATTTTTAGGCGTCGTCGTCCGCAGTTTTCGTTTGTGTCAACCTTTGGGAAACCGATTTCGACCCAAAGGGTCCTACTTTGGGAATCCCTGATCTAAACTTAAGATCCCTCTGACTTAAGATTTCAGCTTATTATAGAGGAGATATCTGTAGCCGCCATTGCAAATATTTCTCTGGATATATGTAACCAAATTTATGAGTATTTCCTGTAACTTGGATTATTTAACAGGAATACCAGCGCCGTCGTCGCGATAACATGAACAAACCGCCAGCAAATCTACAGGAAGGACTCGCTAGGAGCGGCAAAGGACTTGTCATGGTAAATACATAACTTGTAAAAGTTACTTCAGTTATAACTGTTTTACACGTCATTAAAATGAAATCAAACAACTTTTACTGATCACATCATAATAATATATTAAACTAAATTATTTGATAAAATATTCGTATATCGGTAAATTATTTGTTATATAATTATTTTTTTGGTTTTATGGTTAATTCATCAGAAGTCCTTGTAAATCATATTAGAATAATTATTAGATTTTGTTTATAAACAAATTTATTGACTGGCTGTGTAAAAACTGAAAGCAATGAACATTTTAAACGCACAGGGGGTGGTAGACGGCGTAACTGGTGTATTTACAAAACCGATAGAGGGCGCTCGTGAGCAGGGCTTCGAAGGTTTCTTCAAGGGATTGGGCAGAGGGGCTGTGGGCTTAGTGGCCAGGCCCACTGCTGGGGTTGTCGACTTCGCGTCTGGTTCACTTGATGCTGTCAAGAGGTGAATAAATAAAAGGGTAGAATAATGCATGGCCTTGCTTATTGCTTCTAACGCTATATTATATATATCATATTTTATGTTTCTGGGCTGCATGGTAAATAAGTTAATTCTGGTTGTAAACCGTACAGTAATACGAAACGTACAGATACTATTTAAGGTATAAATAGATAGAGAGAAAGAGATTAACGATTAAAAGAAGATTTTTAACAAACGTATTTAAACGTATAGTTTCGTGTCTCTATTAGGCATTATTTTCAGTATACCGTAGAACGGAAATAAATTTGATAATTTTGAAGCTTTTCACTATTTCTGAAAGTCTCTTTGCCCATAAAAAATATGCCGGTACGAACCTTAATTCGATTATTTTTTATTCCTTCAACAGAACTAAATTCCAATTCTGTCTTTACATGAACATAATGGGAATGTGGCTTATTACAATTATTTATTTGGATACATTCACTGAGTTATTGAGATGTTAATAAATATATTTATTTTAACTTGACGTCTTCTATATAAAATTTAACATTGAAATATACGAAGAAATGATTACACATTATAACAAATCAATTGCTTTACCAAGTAAATCTTTTTTCCAGCAGCTAACTTGGTTTAAGAAATTTATTAAATGGTATAACTTTAATTTGCTGTACATAAAAGTAAACTTTAAACACAGGTAATACGAGTAATAGGTCTTTACCTATGATGGAGAATATAATATAATTCAACAAACACGACTGGTCAATCGCTCTTCTCCATTCCTCTACAACGCGCGATCTCACACTTCACGACAGACCAGCTAACAGACCTACAGCTACAAGAGTTACAGCTGGAAGGTCTCCGTCACCCACCGTACTCACCGGACCTTGTCCGAACAACAGCTTTCCACTTTTTTCAAAATTTAGACAATTTTTGATTGGAAAAAAATTCAAGTCAGGCATTACAAAACGCTTTGACGTCATCACCATCCAGTAGATAGTAAAGGGATAAACAAACTACCATCAAAATGGCAAAATTTTATAGATAATTTGGGCCAGTACTTCAGCTATCATATAGCTATATCAGCTAAAATAAAAAAATAACCAAAAATTTTATTTTTAAAATTTTCATACAAACCTCCAACTTCATAGGTAAATACCTAATAAGCAAGTCTTTTATTTGTCTTTATTATACCTTCTGATCGTTTGGGGCCTGGTGCTATAGCCCGCACTGGCAGAAGCGGAATATCCGTAATGTCCAGCACAATAGGATGATTGTCCAGCACTGGGGTGCAATAAGCTATCGACTGCTTGTGTAACAAAGCTTTGACACTAGGGTGTAGTGGACGGCGTGCGCGGCTTACTGATCAGCCCTCTGCAAGGCGCCCACGATGGAGGCGCCGGAGGGTTCGTGAAGGGCGTCGGTATCGGCCTCATGGGGCTCGTCATTCGCCCGCTCGGAGGAGTCGTCGACTTCACCTCGGGGCTCCTCTCTTCTGTTAGGAGGTTATCGCGAATAAACTTATGTGCATATACAACATTATTTATAGTATACCAAAAAGCCGTAACGTACTAAATTTAGTTGATCTGGGAATGTTCCAATGCCATAGCTAATATTCTCTACATTATCGAGAATAAACCATATGTATATAAAAAGTATAAAAACTCAGGATGTCTCGGTGATGCTTCACTAGTTGCGGTTGCAATTGACGAAGTAGGATGCTACCTTGAGTGAGGCCCACCTTCAGGTTCTACACTAGCCATACACGTGATAAAACCGTGTCTACATAGTAAACACGTAAAAAGTAAACATAATAAATTAATATCATATTATTGTTATTACACATTATTATCCATGTACTAAAAATAATAATTGTAACTGTCGTAATCCCTGAAGAAAAATTGTAATAGTTTATAGGTAAAAATCAAATCTAGTCTTATTTCTATATTGATATTCAAATATGCCTTCAAATATTATGATTGTAATAAGCCCCCAAAAATGCTATTTTCAGTAACATGCTGTAAATAAAGTTGTAAAATATACATTAAATTTATATTCAGAGTACTGCAAAAGCCATACCGTAGGCTAGGTAATTATAGTTACACTAAATAAAATGTAAACTATTATAATCAATGTTATTAAGCACTCGGTTTCAAGTTTCAGGTTGAGATCGCATGTTTTTGGTATACTAAAAATAATGTCGTAAATTGTAGAATTTACATTATCGTATTGAGAATAGAAGATTAAAGTTGAAACCATTAGTTACCAAGACAATAGCTTTAGTATATCTCAATTAGGAATATTTTTATTAGTTTTGTTCATCATGTATCTGAGTATATTTTATGGAGATAGAAATATATTTTGAAAAGGACAGGTTATGGGCGGTACAAGCACTAAAGTTAGTACTGGTTTATATTCAGTACTGCTTTTGCATTCCTTTCTTTTCTATTCATATTTTTACCTATTTTGCAGAATGTGAATATGAACTAATTAGATCTTAACTGCACATATTCAGATCGAGACTCATGAGTTAATAAAACAAAATATTTAATGTAGTACTTTGATAAAATCCTTTTAGTATTATTTTGCTTGTAGTTATGTTTAATTCTTATGTATTTAAGCGTATATTTATATAGCGCCCGCTTTTATCACAATCAGCTCTACTTCGTAAATGCGTACTGACATTTTTAACTTGCATGTTGTGTTTATTTAGGTAACCAGGTAAGTTAAATATATTATATAGTAATAAGAATTAACATATGATACCGGCATAATAAATATAATTTTATATTTATCACGCCTGTAAGCTATTATACTAGTATTATATTTCTAAATTTTACGAGACAGAACTCGCACCTTTGATAACTACCCGATACTTTTTTTGACTGCACGGATGGCGTAGTGGTTTAAGCGGTCACCTCGCCGCTTACTACTACTCTGAGTGTTGTGGGTCCGATCCCGATGACACTTTGTGTGATCTACAAATTGTTGTTCTGAGTCTGGGTGTTCTTTGTGTCCGTTTCATGTATGTTCGTAAAGTTCCCCGCGACACAGGATATATTCCTAGTGCATGTTTGCATGAAAGTCATGCTTTTTTCTTTGCTTTTCACTGAGTCAAACCCCGCCTCCTCCTGATTGGGGGACCTGGCGGTGGCAGTCACTTATTGGCTGATCCCCAACAATCCATGTCGAACAGTTCGATAGCTACGATGACGTAATCAGTTACTGAAATGCATGCACGGAATTGATATTAATATATACTAACGTAGTGGTCGACATGGTTGGATAATGTCCTCATTTCACCTCACTCTTATGGTTCTTTACAATGTTTTTTTTATTTTTATTAAAGCGTCTGCATGGTTGTTTGGTACAACTTTTGCAATCTATCGGAAACCATCTGGTGTCCTAGAGACAGACAGTTTCATAATAGCCTAGATATTAAATATATTTTGTGTGTATATATAGAGCCGCTGATCTGTCAGAAGATGTGACAAAGCGTCGACCGCCGCGGTACATGCCCCCGGACTCCCGTGTCATTCCCTACTCCAGGGTGCACGCTGAAGGTTACAAGATGCTCTCCGAGTTGGAAAAGGTCAGTGTCTACTACTCCTATTTTCTATTAGTTATAGGCCCAATATGTCTATTGATACTCCTAAAAAGTTTACCCATAACTTAAACGTAAAAAGATTTATAAAATAAATTTGCAGCTACTTTATATGTTTAAATATAAAAAATAAAGTTTCTATTTATAACAAGAACACAATTAATACACATTTTTTTGTTACTTCAGGGCAAATATCTAAGCACTGATACATATGAGGCGCACGTGTGGGTTATCCCTGTTAAGGAGGTGGTCATGTGTACCGATAAACGGATATTGTATATCGAGAAGAACAACGTGTTCGGCGGTTGGCAGGTATGTGTAATAACTTCATGAACACCAGTACGGTTCTAGGCTTATATGGAGCGGGTAAAGTGCATTCATTAGGCCATTACTACACTGCTAATTTTTAATGTTCACTAGTAGCTACTATCATCATCATCATCATCAGCCTATCGCAGTCCACTGCTGGACATAGGCCTCTCCCATTGCACGCCACTTAGATCGATTTTGGGCTTCTCGCATCCAGCTCCTGCCAGCCATCTTGCGCAAATCGTCACTCCACCTGGCCTGTGGGCGTCCTACACTACGTTTGCCGAGACGCGGTCTCCACTCAAGAACTCGTTTTCCCCAACGGTTATCGGTTCTGCGGCTAATATGGCCAGCCCACTGCCACTTCAGCTTGCTGATCCGGTACGCTATGTCGGTGACCTTAGTTCTCTGCCGGATCACCTCATTTCTGATGCGATCCCTTAGAGAAACGCCGAGCATAGCCCTTTCCATAGCACGTTGAGCGACTTTGAACTTGTGGACCAGCCGTACCGTAAGTGTCCACGTTTCAGCTCCGTATGTCATGACGGGTAGGACGCACTCATTAAAGACTTTCGTCTTAAGGCACTGTGGGATCGACGATGAGAAGACTCGACGTAGCTTCCCAAACGCTGCCCAACCCAACCGAATTCTTCTGTTCACCTCGTCCTCGAAGTTGTTTCTACCTAACTGCAATGTCTGCCCGAGGTACACATAATTTTGAACAACTTCGAGAACGGCACCGTGTACCGCAATCGGTTCCGGTAGTACATGTTCGTTGAACATGACCTTGGTTTTATCCAAGTTCATCCGTAGGCCGATGCGTACAGAAGTGTCAGCTAAGTCATTCAGCATTTGCTGTAGGTCCTGCAACGTCTCTGCCATGATGACGATGTCGTCTGCAAATCGCAAGTGAGAGATGTATTCGCCATTGATATTGATGCCACGCCCTTTCCAGTGCAGCGTCTTGAACATGTCCTCCATTGCATTTGTGAACAATTTCGGGGAAATAACGTCCCCTTGTCTCACTCCTCGATGCAATGGTACGGGCCTTGTTTGCTGATTCTGTACTTGGACGGACATGGTGGCGGCTTCGTAGAGACATCTCATCACTTGGATGTATCGCCAATCTACTTGGCAACGCTGCAGGGACTCCAGAACAGACCAGATCTCGATCGAGTCAAAGGCTTTCTCATAGTCCACGAATGCTAGACACAGGGGCTGATTATATTCTTCGGTCTTCTGTATAATCTGCCGCACTGTGTGGATGTGGTCTATGGTGCCATATCTGCTCCGAAACCCAGCTTGCTCCGGTGGTTGGAATTCGTCAAGTCTTTGCGCAAGACGGTTCGTGATAACTCTCGAAAACAGCTTGTAGACGTGGCTTAGAAGGGATATGGGTCGATAGTTCTTCAACCTGGTCTTGTCACCCTTTTTGAAGAACAAGACGACCACACTCCTACTCCACGCTTCTGGAGTTCTCCCTTCAAACAGGACAGCGTTGAAGAGCTTTTGGAGCTCCCTCAGTACGGGTTTACCCCCGGCCTTCAGCAGCTCTGTTGTAACGCCATCCTCTCCAGGGGCTTTTCCATTTTTCAGCTGTCCAAGAGCCATCTCGATTTCGTCAATGCTAACTTCTGGCAGGTCTTCGGTGTAGTGACGTGTTAATGTGGCTCTAGAGTCCTCATTTTCGGGATCAGGTCGAGATGCATGCGAAGCGTATAACCGGCCATAGAAGCTTTCCACTTCCAAAAGGACTGCCGGCTTCGAAGCAACGACTTCTCCACTTTCTGTAGTCAACTTTGTCAGGTGGCTTCTTCCAAGAGATTGTACGAACACTTTTGACCCCCGATTTTGCTCGATCGCTCTTTCAATTGAAAGAGTATTGGAGCACCGGAGGTCGTGTCGTACGAGTTTACTGATCTCTCGGTTTAGAGTCCGCTTTGCCGCCAAAGTGACAGGTGGGTTTTCACGTCGTTTCTTCATCAGCCCTCGGGTCCTTTCTGAAAGCTTCGACTTCCTGCCCTTACGCTGCATTTCACAAAATCTCATACCTTCTTCCCTGAGGATCTGAACCACATTTTTGAGGTTCTGGTTTACGTCGATTGTGGTTTCCACGGCAGCGAATCGGTTTTCCAGTTTTGACTGGAACGTTTCAGATCCTGTCATGGCTTGGAGCCGAGTTGGTCGGAGCCTGGATTTCATCAAACAGACACGTTCCGCCTTAAAGTTGATATTCAGAGAGCCCCGGACAAGTCGGTGATCACTACCGGTATTAAACCTATTGATCACTGAGACGTCTCTGAATATGTGCTTTCTATCCGTCATGATGAAATCGATCTCATTTCTAGTCATAGCGTCGGGGCTTTGCCACGTCCACTTCCTTTGGGGCCGTTTCTTGAAGAAAGAATTAATCAAAAACAGCCCCTCCCGTTCGAGGAAGTTGACCAGCATTTGCCCCCTATGATTCCTGCTTCCAAATCCATGGGATCCTACTACCGATTCGCCGCAATTCTGTACTCCCACTTTAGCGTTGAAGTCACCCATAACAACGTTGTAGTGGGTCTTAGTTGTGAAGTGGAGGGCCCTCGATATGTCATCGTACATATCCTCCACCTCGTCGTCCGAATGTGCCGAGGTCGGTGCGTACACTTGCACAACCTTGAGGCTATACCTCTCGGTGAGCTTAATAATGAGGTACGCTACCCTGTTCGACACACTGGAAATTTCCACAACGTTGTCAGATAGGAACTTATTTACCAGAAACCCAACCCCACCTTGGGATTGTTGGTCTCCCTCGCGGAAGTACATTAGGTGGCCTGACTCGAGGGTTATGGTGTCCTCCCCCTCTCTTCGGACTTCACATAGCCCTAGGATATGCCACCTAATCTTCCCAAGTTCCACCTCAAGTTGCGCCAGATGCGAGTCTAGCCGTAGCGTGCGTCCGTTGTACGTAGCCAGGGTCAGTCGGTTGTGGTGGCCTCCCGTAGCCCGGAGATTCTTCGCACCCCCTGCCCCGCCTTTACCGTGGTCGCCACCATGACCAGGAATAGCGGGGCCGCCGGGAACTGGGGGCCGTGGCCTTTGTTGCGTCTGCATGGGAGGGGTTTGCCCATAATCGCCACGCTGGGCAGGCGGGTTGGCGATCGCAGGGCGTAGCTTGTCGCACCGGTAACGCTGCTGCCCGTCACCGGCCTGTTGTATTTAGCTACGCCTATTGGGATGGATATACCGCCATCGGTCGGTCGCCAGAGCCTCGTTCGTCGTTCAGCAGGATGCACCGCGGGCAGGTGAGGTTGGCTTGGGGCGAAAGATGGTGGTTCGCCCCTCACACCCCTTGAATTTGAATTCTTAGTAGCTACTAAGAATTCAAATTCAAACTTATGTGTTTTTTATAGAGTCACGTCTTTTATATATAACATTAGTGGGGTTAAACAAAGAGACACAATATATATACAAATTTTAAATATAATATTGATAGTTGGTAAAAAAGGCATCTCTTAAATACATTGAAAACATAGGGCTTAATATTATTTAATTAATATACTAAGTATTGTATGTATGTAGAAAAGACAACTTAGCTGACACTACTACAACAAATAAAACATACATTTTGTTGTTGAACAATAATGAACACGATGTATGTATATATGAGTCGTCTCTGAACAAATCTATACTAATATTATAAAGCTGAAGAGTTTGTTTGTTTGTTTGTTTGTTTGTTTGTTTGAACGCGCTAATCTCAGGAACTACTGGTCCGATTTGAAAAATTCTTTCAGTGTTGGATAGCCCATTTATCGAGGAAGGCTATAGGCTATATATCATCACGCTAAGACCAATAGGAGCGGAGCACCAATGAAGAATGTTTCAAAAACGGAGAAAATTTATTACTATTGAGAGACGCAGACGAAGTTGCGCGGGTCAGCTAGTAATTAAATAAAGTGTTTGGTATTTTTAATCGAATAACATATTTGATGTGCATGAATGACATTTGTATTGTATGCTATCCTAAGTCAACATTTTTATATTCGAACATATTTTCAAACAGATCATGTGGACGTATCTATGGACTGAGCTTCCCGAGGTGCCAACGCCTGTAAACAAAGGCGTGTATATACCGACCGCCAAGAAGAAAATGCTGGGAATGTTCACGAGCTCAGGGTCAGGCAAGGTCGTGTTCCTGTACGACGAACAGCAAAAGAAATACTTGCTGGCTCAGTGCCAACGGCTGATGCAGTCGCGTTGACATGAGGACGTAGAAAGAATGACGCCCACCGAGTGGTTGGGACAATTCTTTCTACTTATATTCGATTCCCGCACCGCATTGCTAACCCTCGCTTACCACTTTAACGTGCACCATCTCGCCCCGAAAGGCTTCCGCTAGACTTCTATGTCTCGAGCCGTGCTTCGTCGAACTGTCTATTTTTCTCTTGAGTGTATTCATGTTCTACTTAACAGAGTGTGTGCTTGTTATATTTTTAGACGAATACTTTATTACGTGATGTCATTAATATGTATGTATGTCGAGTATATATTATGGAATTGATATTGTAGGCGTTTTGTTTATTTGTTAGTTTTGATTGATTTTACAATTCGTTTTGATCAACGAACAGTAAAGTTGGATGAGCCGTAAATGTAAACTTCACTTATAAATGAACGGGAGAGTAATATATAAACATCGTAAGTTAGTATCGAATTATCAGTTAATCTCAATAGGATTATAGTTTTACTACACGTCAGGACTAAACTTAGGCGAAGCCTTATAGCAAGTACAAAAGATATTTCCCTTGTAAAATTAATAAGTCCTTAATTATAGTCCATCAACGTCGTTCGCGACCGTCCTGCGGGACGGGGCGGGGACGAGGTACTCAAGATGTCAGCGGGTAGCGGGTGGTGTAGCGGGGAAGGGAGACGCTTCTCTTCGTGTGTAGCCGTGTGCTAGAATGACGCGCTACCTTGCCCCCGCCACTGTCTGTCACCCCGCGGGACGGTCGCGCACGAGATTGCCGGGTTATAATAATGAGGTCATAGCTTATCGATAGGTTACGGTAAAATAATTTTCGTTTAAATATACTTTTTACACCGTTTATACCATGTCTAGTGTATTTAGACTTCGACTATGCATTTACATTATTTTGAATAATATTTTGTAGGTTTGTTGAAATATTCCAGTCTTCCGTTACATATTCCTCTCTTGGTTATTAACGCAAAAAGGAGTTTATTATATTGTTGTCGTTCAAATATTTATTATTCATGGTTGATATTTGGACTATTTCTTAAATCCATTCTCAAAAGACTAATTTAAAACAGTCGAATATTTTATTATATTTGTAATGAGTGTATCGTTGTTCACAGTGTTTAATAAGTTAATTGTTACGTTGGTAAAATCAGCGAAGTAGGTTATGAACATAGGTCGAAATAGGTAGAATGATTTAGAGTTAATGAATTAAAATGTGTATGCTAATATGGACATAGCTTTGAGATTTCGTAGAGCGACGTGTTAGGGCACACTGGTATATATATACAATACAATATTATAATACTCAGTGCCCTGGAATAAGTTACCAGCTTTGTATTCAATACAGTAAGAAAAACCAAACAAAATAAAATGAAATAATCTTTGAACTCCCAATGTCTGTATTCAGAACTCAGTTAGTTTCATATGATTTATGCTTTGCTTTGCTTTGCAAAATAAAATATTTTTTGAGTAAAAGTCAGCATCATTATTTTACGTATATTATTTTTACATTTTAGTTTTCCAAGTATTGTATCTTTTAAAAATGGGTTTCCCTTTAAATAATAGGTGCATAGAAATTTGCGATCACTAAAGCTTTAAGATAATGCGATAAAATGTAAACAAGTAGTACTCATTTTATTATTAAACAGGGAAATGAAATCAGTTGTATATTTTACTATAAAATTGAATGGTATTAGTTCATAAAGCAATAACGGCTATAATTATTTTAAGATGTTTACCGGGAAGAAGCATGTCTGTATTAAGATAACATGATACAACCACTCTACCTATTCTGACCATGCTATTATTAATCATGTTTTATTTGGGTTTTACAAAGCCTGACAGTACAAACATTGTTACTACGAAACATTGTTAGTTCCTTAAATAATTTAATGACAGCCAAATAACATGTTTGTCTGTATGTAGCGAAAACTTCCTTTGCTGAAGTGGTGTACGTACCAGTGCCTTAATGATCAATGTTTAGAAATATAATTTTGTTATCAGCTTCTTAACTTTGATTCGTGAATTGTTTTACGTTTCAGTTTTACTGAAGCGATTGTTTTGTTCAGAAACTAAGTTATTGTTAGGTTGAGTGCACAATAAAAATATTTTGATATTATTAGCTTCGCCGATCTGCGCTAGCCTTTACAGTGGCTTCGCAATGTAAAATGTTCTTAATTTTTGTATCTTGTTTATTTGTGAAAACATTTATGGGCGACTATGTTTAATTAGATCTAAAGTAAATCTTTGATAATATAGCCTGTTGCACAATTTACTTATTTCGTACTTCCGTTTTGTCTTGTTCAAGCTTGTGTAAGAACATTTTCAGTATAAAATATATATATTCAACTACTATGACGTTTTATTTTTGATGATTACCCCTCACACACTTAAACACGACCTTGTATGTTTTAAATTCTAAAATGCTAAAATGCTGAAGTGTTCACAAGTTTTAAACATGAATATACATAAATGAAACGTGAAATTTAATCTTTTGTGGTATATACCACAAAAGATTACCTCTATATCTCTATATCTTAATCTTTTGTTGAGTTGAACAACAGAATAATTCGCTAGGGATACATTTTTCGGAAATACGTTAAACTCGAAAGTTACAGGAATTTTCCCTGCCTATTCATTGGTGACCTTGAAGTTGACCGTTGAAGTTGAGTTGGTCAAGAGCAATTTTGAAATGGGATGCATATTTTTGAGCCCGGAAATGAAGAGAGGAAAAAATTACAATTGGATATGACCTTCACAACACAAAACAGTCTTGGGACTGTTTTGTAAAACAGACCACTATTCAACGTGTTTGTGTGACGAAAATCCATAGGACTAAGGCAACAACGTAACTATCCTCAAACTAGCATCTGTTGTTAGCTGACGTCTCCCCTTCCTATGAAAAATCTGTTAATCACCATTTTTTTTTTAAATTGAATAAAGAATGGTATATGTTCAACTTACCACCAGATATAGTAAAATTTCATTTCAAAAAATTCTAAGTAATTTTAATGAGAAATTTAACCAAAAAAAATGTCAATGTCATGACTAAAACAGCTAGAACCATTGTAATCGTTGACTTTCTTTGTTTAGGGCTAGAAATTATTTTTTGGTGGTCATTATATTTAATCCCATAAAGAATTGAACATTGCACCCAGTAGGTTTTAATATAATACATGTATATGAATGTATCATCATCATCAGCCTATCGCAGTCCACTGCTGGACATAGGCCTCTCCCATTGCACGCCAGTTAGATCGATTTTGGGCTTCTAGCATCCAGCTCCTGCCAGCCATCTTGCGCAAATCGTCACTCCACCTGGCGTGTGGGCGTCCTACACTACGTTTGCCGAGACGTGGTCTCCACTCAAGAACTCGTTTTCCCCAACGGCCATTTCATCTTGCTGATCCCGTAGGCTATGTCGGTGACCTTGGTTCTCTGCCGTATCACCTCATTCCTGATGCGATCCCTTAGAGAAACGCCGAGCATAGCCCTTTCCATAGCACGTTGAGCGACTTTGAACTTGTGGACCAGCCGCACCGTATAAAACAAAACTTTTGGTTTAGTTTATACTCGTATAAACGTATAAGTATATGTATTGCAGTAGTTATCAGTATATTTATGTTTATGCATTTCATTTCCATTCGGATTTCCTTCATTGACCACTCTATTTATGGTATACATCTGCATCTGCCTATTGACCACCTTAAACCATCCTTGTGAAGACAAATCACCTAATTATAAAGTACGGACAGCCTAGACTTGCTTGAGTGCAACCCAATAGTGGAATCCAAAAAAATTAAGGATTATTCGTATTATGTTACGAGAGTTGTTAGACCTCCCTTGTCTTCGCCCTGTTACTTATAACCCGTTTTAGCTAACCTTTCCTACTGATAAACTACGGTTACGGTGCGCACTGCGGTAAAATTTCTTGTGACAATTAGAAAACTACTAAGAACTTTGATATAAAAATGGATGAATCTTAGACTTATTTTTAACTTGTTTAATCCGGGCCATCTCAAAATTTTAGAAAAATTAGATGTATTTAATACAGGAACCTAAAAATTTACTGATGAAGTTAAGACTTCGTAAATCGCGATAGAAAAGGTTGGCATTAATGAAAGTATATTTTAATCTTTTAATTCTTGATATTTGATGCTAATGATGGTCCTGAATACTTTGTTGTTGAGTTTAGTTTTATTTTTCAAAGTCGTTGGAGTGTGTGGGCTACAGAATAACGAAATCTATCAAACGGAAAAGTAATATTACGAATCGTAAATCACTTGTGCTACAAATCAATGGCAATATATGGTCGTCTAAAATCTTTGCAAATTTCAGAGCTTTTCAGTTATATGATGCGCTACCCAATTTATCGTGTAAAGTTTTTATTAGGGATGGAGAAGATAGCTTTTTGGGCAGCTATGCGGCCAGGCTTGAGGCCGGAAATTTAGTGCAGATTAATCGCGATCGTGACCCTTAGGTATGTCAGAATGTCAGAATGAAAGATGGCCCATGTACTAGTAAGTTCTGGAAATATTTTTATCAAAATCTATAATAACAAGTGAGACTGTTTGTGTTCTTTGAATACTGAAATAATAATGTGTCCACAATAATACGCCTTTGTACAGTAATTGTGCTAATAAATTAGATATAAATAAAAATATAATAATTATATTATTAAATTGATATATATTTTAATATCTGGTATCCAGTGACATGACATCCGGTAATCTAATCTCATCTCTCCGTATATCTACGTCTGTTATCGAATATTCTTTTCATCTCTAGTTCTTATATGTTATAACGTCAGCGTCAAATTAAATCAAAATCAAATCAATACATTTTTTTTGCATGAATATGGTACAAAGTTCTTAAAAAATACACTTACATCGTCAAACCTCTTCCCACAGCCTAGCCATCTACCTATTTAACATTATTTTACGGCAGATATTTGCTTAGGTATATCAAATTAACATTAGATTATAAAAAGATTTTGTTTAAATCCTGAG